AATATCGTGGCTCGACTTCTTTAATGACTCACGACCTCGAGAGTATCTATAATAAATAATACGCCGAAGCCATCGATCGATCGATACCGAGCATCGCGAATAATCATCGACAAATTTTCATTATATACCGTTAAAAAGACTGGATCTTCGCGTTCGTTTACTTTGCAAAAAAAGAAATAGTAAAAAAAAATCTCGTCGATTGTCGCCGAGAGTGCAATCCATGTGTATATAAGAATGTCGATGATATTGATCGCGAACGACGAGTTTCATCGAACGCGTATACGCAGGAGCAGATCTCGCGAATAGTCGGAGTCGGTAGCGCCGCGCGATCGGTATATATAGCGACAGGAAAAAAACTTGACTCGGGCTATACGAGGCACGAATGTAGAAAAAAAATCATCTATACGCATTCGAGCGAAGCGACGACAACTTTCAGCAGTAACAGCTGGTTATATTTTATACAATTAAAACTCGTTGTACTGGAGGATTAGTCGTTACATCACGACTCGAATCTCCTTTTCCCCCTCCCTCTCGCTCTTTCTCTCTTGTTTAGCTATAAAACGCGATAATATGCACATGAGAGCTCGTTTAGACCGAGTCTATACGATAGTTATCTCTGTATCTATAATAAATGCGTCGAAATCCGCTAATCTGTCGATAGACCTTCGCGCCTCTGGTTTGTCACTTATTTATTAACTAAATATACATGCTACGATAGCATATCATATATTTATGGCTAAATTTAATAATTAATTTATGTTTTAATCGAAAACGTTTGTCAATGCCTAAAATAAAACTATACGGAATGTACGAGGGGATAAAAAAAATTTACATTTCTTTCTCTCTCTCTCTTTGCCTGCGTCAATCGGGGATAAAACCCGCGGTGACGCCCTCCCCAAGAAATGTACATCGGTTTATGTGTGCTTATGACTGTACTTGTACATACATATATAGGTATACATAATGAGTAAAGACGTCCATGCAAGCTATATCTATATTCATGCGTACACACACATAAGTTATACAGCTACATATGCGTGTGTAGGTGTTCGTATGAGTAGTCGGCAGAAATTTCCGTTATGTATGCGCAATGCTTTTAGCGAATTATAAGAAGCGAAGATATATATACGTATAGGCTGAGAGAGACTCAGAAAGAGAATAAAAGAAATAGAAATAAAAATGTATATTACGTTAATCAAGTGGCTACATCCGCTCGGTGCTTTTACTTTTATAACGATATCCGCGTACTGCATATAAATGTACGCGTGTCCACGCCCGGTCAGTGGATTTTCCTTTTGATATTCGAGGTCGTTTTTTTGCTGCTGCATTTGATCTTAAAACACTTCGAGAAAGAGATACGTCGCGATTTATGAAAGTACGAGGAAATCAAATGAAACTCGGGCGAGAAAAATAGTATAACGATTCCGATTTGCAGAGAAAAAAAAGATCGACTCGTTGACCGCAATTACGACCGATTTCCGGGCTAAAATCGGTATAGAGAAGCGTGTCGTGTACTGAAAAACGATCGCTCGAGTTGCACGACTAGGCGAGTTAAAAACCAAAGACTACTGAAATACCAATTGCGTAGCGTCATACACAGGCGGCTACGATACGATAAGAATACATATATTCGCAATACCTTTTATACAGTCGGACTCGCGGCCACTAGCACCGAACCACGTGCGTCAGCTCTCTCGTGCGGTTGGAGGTTAGGATTTTTGCACACATACTGCAATGGAAAGGCCAGCAGCTATTTCTCGCTCTTCTCGGTGCTCTCCCTCTCTGTTCTCCTCGTGTGTGCTCGTTGTGCAGTTTCTTCTCGCTCGTTCTAATATTATAAAGACTTGCCTCTCTCGTGACGCTGCTCCATGCCCGTCGTCGTCGTCGTCTCTCCTCTCGTTAGGATTCATCTCGCCAAAGAAGAATGGAGCTTTCTCTCCTCTTCGCTCTCGAGCCATCACCATTATCATTTACTTCTTTTTTACTTTAATTTATTTGTCACTAGTTTTTCGCGTCAAACGTACGATACTCAAAAGCTTGCCCGTTACTTGAATTTCGTTATTCGAACAATATTGAACGTTATAAAACCACTCGACGATTCATTTAAACTTCCTATGCGGACTTGACGATTTCGGGCGTGTCTCTCTACCCGCGTGCGCTCTCAACTTCGATTATCAACGTTACTACTCAACTTATCATTTACTTTTTTTACATACCACTCTTTGTTCACTCGATTGGACTAGCTTTGCTCTTTCTCTCTTGCTGCTTTTATGAAGGATTGTGCAAGTCGCGCCGATCAACGATTGTCACCCACGTAAAGGAGTTCGAAAATGAACTTGCGGCGATTAGGAAGTTGGGCGTCGAATGCCATGTGTGAACACTGCTTATTATAATACAAGAGAAGATTACGGTGACACCCACAGCCACAGAGACAGAGTCAGCGGAATCAGCGGAAATTTAGCCACGATTAAGGCCGCGAAGCCTTGCAAATTGGTCGGTTGCTCTTTTCGGTATCGACGAAAGGAAAAAGAAGACCGGAAGTGAGCGCATGAGCTTCTGCGAGAGAACGAGAGCGAGTGCGGAAAAAATGGCGGATTGTATGAATAAAAGTCACACACACACACGTCGTTAGTGTGGAATTTTTCTTTCTCTCCGTTCTCTCGCAGGCCCCATTTTCATTTAATCGGCAAAGGAAAAAAATAAGAAATCGGGCAAAGAAATCACACGACGAGTATTATTCCGACACGGGTGTAAAAACGGAACTGAGAGGACGAGGAGGAAAAAAAGGAGTCTCGAACAGCGAGGCGAGTACGTTGCGGTGCAAAAATTTCAAGAGAGAGAAAGAAAGAGTCGGAAAGAGAGAGCTGCTAGTCAAGCGAGGAGGAAAAAGATGTATAATATATAAGTGAGTGCAAGAACCAGAGTGTAATTTGCGCTGTCTCTCTCGCGTGCGATATGCGACGTTCGCATCGGGTTAAAGGCGGCGACGAACTGAACGGTTGCCGGTGCGGCTGATCCGGCGAAGCACTGCTCTGCACAGCACGCCGCAGCTCGACGGCGGCGGCAGCGGTGGCAGCCGAGTCTCCTCGCCCGGTATGCCAAACAGTCCGCCGCACTGTGCAGAAAAGAGAGAGAGAACGAGAGATTTGCGCCGGTCTCCCTAGCCGCCGCTGCCGTCGCCGCCGCCACCACTACTACACAGCCGCTGCCGCTGCTATATTGCGAATACTACTATTGCCGGTGACTGCGCTGCGTACGAGGTATAGAGCGTATACTACACAGCGCGGCGCCTCCGATTTTATAGACACGGCGAGCTTACAACGGACTTTGGCACGACGGTGTGCGTATTATTACACGTTTGCGCGGTGCTGCCTCGCGCGATTCGATCGAGCAGGGCCCCCGGCTTTTTCAGCAGCAGCAGCGCATGAGCAGCGAATTCGCGCCGCGCACCGATAGCACTTGAATTTTCACCATTGATGTTCGGTTCAAGAGATGGTTTTTATTTTTTTAATCGAAATATCAAAGTGATCTACTTGACGAGATGAAATCGAGCAAATGGAAATTGATTCGAGACGCGTATTTGAGAAAATGTTTAATTATTTATTGAATTTAAGTACCCGAGTTGTAGTTTTGATTTTACTTAAAAGATGCAAAAAAAAACTTGACTCATACATTTTGTGTAGACAATTATGCAAAAATGATTATTTCTTATCAAATTTTCTTCATTTTTCTGAACACAAACCTTTATTCAATACAGTGTTATACATAGCGTAAACTTTAAACATTTATAATTAGAAATGAAAATAAACACCAACTCCATGTTTTATAATTTGATTTCTAAGAGATCATAATGACGATTTATAATCGAATAAAAGTTTCCTGAATTATTAAATGCAATGCTAATTTTTAATAAAACATCACTTTATAAAAGTATAGGATATAAATTTTCCGTTTTGTAAGCTGTCAGTACCACTTGTAAGACTTAAAAGTATCTGATTAATTTTACTCCTATCTAATAGTCAAATTTTTCTGACATTCCATTTACTCCATATTGAGTCGTCGATTCTACTGGAAGTGCCTCTAAAACGAATCTACTTAGCACCTACCTATAAAAATAGAAAGCCACCAATCGATGGGGCTCATCAAAGCGTCAGCAGCTACATACATTTGAGGACTAAATTTTTAACTCCGCCTTCCTTTTAACGAGCAATAGAAGAAACGATAGTGAAAGTAGATACGTCTAAGCGAGTGTAAGTGGGCTGTGGCCAATAGAAATGGGTCGTCTCAGCGTAGGCCCATAATAGTGCGTCAACGTACGTGTCATTTTGAAAGTCAAGGCTAATACGCGTTAGACATCGAACCTACCGCAATTATGCCATAACTTTACAATTTATTCGTTTAGATATTATTTATAAATAAGATAAGTTGAATTTGTGGTTGTATACTCAATTTGAAACTTGGTGCTTGGCATGTCAGAAATCTGAATAAATCAGGTGATCAGCGCGCTCGACTGTCGAATTCAACTGGTACACGCGATTTTTATATCTTAACCCATTAACGACCAAAATGCTTGATTTTTTTGTTGGTTTTCGCAACGATTTTTTTTGTAGTTTTAGACCTTAAAAAAATTTCGCAGGGACCTATTTCGATGTAAAATTTAATGCCCTTTCAGATTCTATTTCAGATACAAAAATAATGGCCTGAATTGTCTTTGAAAAGAATTATTGGTCACGTGAATTTTAATGGTGGTGTCTTCATTGAAGTAACAAATTAAAGACAAAACTTAAGTAATACATGAGTTTATATACGACGACAGTAACAACAAAACAAATAACAGTTTAAACTTTTTTATTATTCATCAAAAACTTACAGAATGTTCATATAAAAGATTTCTATCACGTCATAGCGCACTTATGCTAGTGTAGAAGTTATATTGGCTTCAAATATCTGAAAAGCCTTATCATATTTCGTGAATTGCTACCATAATTTTTTTTCTCGTATATTTGATGAGGATACTCTTGTTTGAAAATAATTTGCTGCAAATCTCGCTTTCAAGCTACTCCCGGGCATCACAGAATTGAATGTAAGAGTTTACTGAGATCATGTATTGCATTAATGTGACGTTTGAGGTCACATTTTTGTCCAAATTATTCGTGACAAATTTCATACTCGAATGGTGTGCTATGATTGTGTAATCTTTTCATGTGTTTCTTGAGATAACTTTTATCTTTAAATAATTTGTGACAAATATCGCATTCAAAGGATTTGCTGTGATCATGTACTACATTAATGTGACGCTGAAGGTTCTGTTTTTGTCTATATGATTTGTGACAAATTTCACATTCAAAAGATTTGTTACCATCATGTACCGTCCTTATGTGTCTGCGTAGGTTAAATAAGTGTCGAAATGATTTGCGACAAATATCACATTTGAAGAGTTCGCTCCAATTATGTAGTAAATTTATGTGAATTTTCAGTACATTCTGGTATCCAAATGATTTACGACAAATGCCACATTCGTAGGGTTTGCTGCGATTATGTACTGTATTTATGTGAACTGTGAGGTTAGCTTTTCGTCGAAATGATTTCTGACAAATATCACATTCAATGGATTCGCTCCGATTATGTATAACTGTATTTATGTGTGTATCAAGATGGCTCTTGAATGAAAAAGATTTGTGACAAATCTCACACTCGAAAGATGTGTTCCGATTATGTACTGTATTTATATGTTTTTTGACCTGACTATTGTATCCAAATGATTTGTGACAAATTTCACATTCGAAGGGTTTGCTCCGATTATGTACTCCATTTATGTGAACTTTAAGGTACCTTTTTTGTCCAAATGATTTGCGACAAATTTCACACTCGAAGGGTTTGCTACGTTTATTCCGTTTCGATCGGTCATGTACTTGAAATTCACAATTATTATAATAATCAAAACTTTTTTTTATCAAAATTATGAGTCTTTTTTTATTCGAGTACTTTTTCTGAATTTTTTTTTCTACTTTCACAATAAGTGGATAATTCTGATGTTCAGTTCTTCTAATAGTTGTTGATGCAGCTTTCTTTTCAAGTTTAACATATTTGCACTCAAATTCTATGGATATTTTTTCATCTAACTTTTTCTGTAAAGCCGTAGCCGCATTATTGCGGCTTGCCTAAAATTGAAATTTTGTAACTATTTTTTATAGTGGAAAAATAGAACATGATTTAAATTCTTTTAACTCACTGTTGATTTATGAAATGGTAGTGCTTCAAAGTTTTCGACTTGGCAAGAGTCCACTGAATCGAAATTATAATCATCGCTTTCGTCTGGCCAGATATCGTTCGCTTCTTTCTTTATCCTGGCGAATAATTAAACTCGATGACCCGATCGTTTGAAAAATATCATTACATGCATAATAAAAGTCATACCTGACCGTGTTCCCGTTGTTTGCCATCACTTTCATGATTATAATTGTATTTTTATTAATAAAATAATTGAGGAAATATTTAAAGTTAAACGCCTCGAGACCTCGAATTTACTTATTTGTAAACACTTGCTTACTGAGAAAATGGACTCTCTGCTAGCAACTAACCACTGAACGCACTTGTATATTAGCGAGATGTACCCGCGATAGCTCCTTGGCGATACTTTCCTCCCTCTACCGTAGACTTGCCATCCGGATGAATATCGTCATTAAAATTACGATATAAATGCAATGAAAATTTCATTCATGCAGTTGCACACTTTGTTTAAACATACATGTCATATACGGATATAAACCTTCACAAACAGAAAGATTAGCTCTAAACACACTAATTCTGTGAATATTGATATTACACGCGTGATAAGTTCTAGGAGTCATTAGAACTGCAGGTTGTAGTAAATTAACCGCGGCAGACGCGTGGAAAATTGTTTCGATTAAGAATTCGTATGTTAATGCAAGAGTTCATTATTTTTTAGAATCCAGCTTCAGAATTGAGATAACTGCCGTACCTCGAGAGTTATAAGTAATGGTTTTTGCCTAATTCATAAGTATTTTCTCAAGAAAACCCTCAATAATTACTTATGAGATAAATATCAATACACTATTTGACATAGGTTTTTATCTAACCTTTCCCATGCTTTTTTCAAATATTATTCCTTAATTTTGTTAAAATACAAGTGTTTTTATAAAATGAGTTTTTATTGCTTGAAATTCAGTAAGAGTGCTTCGTTTAATTATTTTAACAAGTTTTTCTCATTCTTTATTACGTTAGAGCTACAAAGTACAAATTTGAGTTCACTTTCTCGGGGTAAAATTTGCGAAACTAAGGTTAAAACTAAGATTGATCCCGAAAGAGTCGTTTCTCAGTTCGTATTAACGCGAAGTATATTTTCACACAATATTTAGATTAGCACCATAGATATTTTTTTACAAAAATTCTATTAATTTTGTTCAAAACTTGGACGAATTAGTCTTCTGAAAAAATGCACAAGATTATAAATAGTCATTTTTTATAAAATTTATACAGCCTGTTTAACTTACATTTTAAACCTTCATTGAGTCATAATGTTCGAGTGATGCACCACATCGATATGCATTCTAAGATTATTCTTTTGTGTGATACTCTTGTGAGTCGAGTTGATTTGGAATTGAAAACTTGTCTGATATTTGAATTTCATTCCTCATGTATGGGTGATACCTTGATGCATCGATCGAACATGCCTATTCAGATTGCTCTTTTGATTAAACGTCTTTTTACATAGATCACATGTATGTGTGACGCCATTGTGCTTTGCATTCATGTGAATCTCAATGTGAGCTTTGAGATAGTCTTTTCGTGAAAATGTTTTTCCGCAAGCATCACATGTATAGATGACACCATTGTGCACATAATCAATGTGAACGCGGAGTTGACTTTTATATGTGAATTTCTTTTGACACATATCGCATGGACGAGTGACACCGTTATGCATTCCGTCAGTGTGAGTTTGGAGACTACTTTTTTTAGTAAATGACTTGCCGCATGTATTGCATGTATGTTTAATAACACCATCATGCGTTGATTCAACATGCCTATCACGATCACTTTTTCGTTTAAATAACTTTTCACGTGTATTGCAAGGATGTGTTGAACCGTTAAAAATTTGGATGTTGAGTTTACCGGTATACTTTTTTGTATCTCTTCTCTTCTTATTTTTCTCTTTGACTTCACTGTGTAAATTAGAATCCATTTCTTGTCTCATTCTTTCCTCACTTTCTCTTTTAATTGTGCTTTGAGTTGTATGATTTTCACTGTACATCGTAAGCTCAGGCTTCTCATCTTTACACTCGAATTTAATGTGTACGTCGTCAAGTTCAGTTTCATGATTTTCATTACATTTTTAAAGCGTCTGTAATAAAAATCAAGATATATTAACGTTTATTTAGATAAAAAATGTTTACTATGCAAATTGTATATGATTGTCAATTCTTATTGAATATTCTCTAATGAATCGAATATTTTTAATGTCGGGCTTCTCGACGATTACTTCCCCATCGTCATTTTCTGTTAGCATCGCATCACAAGGTTCTTTTTTTACTCTAAAATAATTACAGTGAGGTTAAGTATTATGCTACATTATTTTTTTATAATTTCATTTATAAATTGAAAAATACCTGACCGCGCAATTAAATAAATCTTCGCAATCCATCTTTCTCGCTTATAGTTTTGCGAATGATTAATCTTTCCATGATTTCAATTAGCTAACTTGAATTTAATTTGATAATATTTATAAATCATTACACGAAAGTTTAGACCAAGTAATGTAAACTGTACTAGTGCAACATTGAGTATTTACATTATTGAATAAACAACATTATTGTTCTCACTAATGAACAATAATCATTTTTCTGTTAATCATGCTAAATTAAATAGAATATTTAAATGAACAAAAATGATATTATTGTAGTACACTTCAATACTTCAATATTTTACGTATCCTGAAAATAATTGTTGATTTCATTCAGATTTACTTGTTATTCAGTAACCAAGTTTATTTTAATGATTTTGTTCGAATTGTCGTACAAATTCGAACAGCCAAGTTTTACGTTTTTCACTTTTATTGCGGACGTTAGGGGTTTTTTAACTGTATTGTAACATAATTTGTCAGCGAATCTTTATAAATAATGTTATATCACGAATAATTGTAAATTTTGAAAAAACGATTTCGAGGAGAAAGGGACTAAAATATTGTATAATCGGTATGCGATCGCAAAACAGACGTCGAGTCCCACGCGCATTATTATTATCATGGCGTAAACGAGGCAATGTCTATAGGTCGCGCGGCTATACCGTATGCTCGTGATATTGTACGTTATTACATGTTTGTGTAGAGGTTTACGCGCGTGGGTATTAATGATATAAGCGCGGCACAGCATTGACAGACATTGACCCGTTACAAATTGCTGCTGCTACTGCTGCTCTCGAGCTCTCTGGGCGTATGATTCATAGCTTTTTGATAAGCCACCGACGTTACGCTATTAGCGGTGCTGCACATTGCAATATTGTATAGTGAGCCGCGTTGTAGATTGCCGTCATATATAAAGCAATGCAAATTCAAAGATTTGGACTCGTTGTTGCATGTATATTGCAATTAATGATTTTCATCTCGTGGACTACGATCGCGAGCTTGACGAAGCTTTCATCGTCGATAATTTCGAATAAAGATCCTCTAAAAGAGATCGCGCAGTGAATGATGAAGTCATGCCCTATTAGTATAATACGATTGGGCGATACATAAATAATTAAAACTAGCACGCGTAATATCGATGATCTCCGCACGCCAGCTGCGGCTCGTGACAAAGAGCTCATTTCATCACACGTGTCGCAAATTAGATAAGCAAAAAAGTTCATTCTCTTTGGAAAAAAATAAATTAGTCAACGAGTAGAGCTATGCCCAAGGTTCGTATCATAAATCCATGTGTGAATTTTATCGCAAGCTTTGCGCGCGCGCATCGTGGGTAAAAGCTTCGATCGCCGACTCTCAATCGCAGCGGAAAATGTGGGATTTTCCCTTCGACAAAAATGAGGAAATGAGTCAGATTTGATTCTATCGATGATCGAGAGCGGAGACGAGCTGAAAATATACGAGAGAGTTTGATACATTGGGCGTGGCGCGCGCTCAGCTGATCATCTCTGTATAAAGTAATAGTAATCTTACCGAATCGCTGAAATACCTGAGAGATCGCGACACATTATCAGCACACGATCCAGCTGTAAAGTACACGCGGTACAGCGGCAACGCCGGCAAGATGACACCCGAGCACTCGGCCGGCACACGTGTTTTTCACGCAGCTTCGCGAACATCATCGGTATCGGGGCTCGCGAGTAATAAGTGTAAAATTTCTGCAACACAGGGATTATTCCGCTACGTGCGTAGGACGTTCGCATGTATAATACGTACACTACACTGCGGCATTGTTCAGCTGCTGCCGAGGAGGAGGAGGTCCTTCACCCCAGCGTCGACGTATAATGCGCGACGATCCGGCGAAAGAGAGCAGTGTAAGGCGCATATGCATGCGGAGGAGAGTCGGAGAGCGTGAGCGGCCGAACAAAAGGACGGCCAGCTGCTGCACCTACTTACTTCTCGATTATTGCACTGGCTGTATCCTTTCGTTCTTCTCTTTCTCTCTCTCTCTCTCTCTCTCTCTCTCTCTCTCTCTCTCTCTCTCTCTCGACAAATTTCTGACAGCTCGGAGTTATTGATCATTACACGCTGCCTTTAACAGAGACTTGCTCGGATACACACTTTTATTAGCGGGCGAAATACTTTACGGCTGATTCTCAGCTCGAACGATTCGCGCGACCGTACTTGATTCTCAGGGCCATCGCGAGCTATTTATGCCTCGATTCTCGGAGACTCGTTGTGGAACGTCAATGCCCCGTGTTGACAATTCCATTGATTTCATTATAATGTAATATTGTACCATTCGGGCGGGGAGATATGAAATCGACTCACGCAAAAAAGCGTATGTACTTGCGCACGCGAACAACGAGGATATCACGTGGACCTAGCGAGCCATCTGCCGAAAGCCAGGGTGACGAATGAACGAGATGATGCGACCTTTGACATGCCCGAGCTTTGCTTGCGATTGGCCATCGATGGAGAATCCTCAACTAGATTTTTTACTCAAGAAATTAAAAGGTCGTGCCTTGTAACGATTAAAACGATGTTTTTTATGAATGAAATTCGGTTTAATTTAGTTTTTGCCCGTATTCGGCAATTCGTACGGAGCGTCTTTCCCGTAAAAAACAATTCGTCAGTGAGCAAACGATTCCAGTCACATGAGTCAATCACCGCTGTCCATTTGGATTTCCTACACACCGCGTGTCTCAGCGGCGACCCCGTTTTTCGAAAAAAGACCTTGACATAGAAAAGCGAGTATTGACCCAAGTTTCATCGTATTTGAAGCACCTTTACGCAAGCGATAACGTTTTTACAATAATTAAAACTGTGATTTTTTTACCTTGAAACAGGCTATTTATTCATCTCTTTTTGTAAAAAAATATTCACAAAAAATACAATTCACATCACATTCCTCAATATAAATGAATCTCTGTTTAAGTAGAGTTAGAATACACTGGTTTCACAAGTTTCTTTTAGAGATCGGGATGGTCATTGATATACATGATTAAATTGTCACTTGATCAACTTGTTGAACATTTATTTATAAATTACCATCGTGTATTAACAAAAAAGGTAAATACAATTAATATTTACAAAAATATTCTAAGTTTCAGACGAAATATGACTCGATAACGGCTTCAAAAAAGTCGTCCCATTTACAATTAACATGAATGCGTATAAAAAATTATTTGACATCGTTTTATCTAAAAAGTTCATAAAAAAGATATGTTCATTTAAACACCGACTTTAAACCTAACTTACCTACTCCCGGGCATCACAGAATTGAATGTACACGAACAAACAACCTTCATTGTTTGCATTTTTTACAATTCATAATAAGACACGTAAATTTCACAATACTTGCGTTTTCATTTATACACGTCATTTTTTTCTTATTCATTAAACTAAGTCTTATTGCAGAGTCATTTTCAAAATACGAAAATACAATTAATTTGTTGAAACTATTTTCCATAAAAATCAAATTCTGTATCCGAAGTTCAAAAAAAATTTGTCTACTATAGCATTCTCAGATTTGAGAAAAATAGCATTATTCTATAAAATTAACAACTGAAATCTGTAAGTTCATTTTCCCTTTTTTTGGCACAGCCAAAATCAGTGCGGGTTTTTGAGTATTTTTCCTTGTTACTTGTGAAATATAATAGTTTAAAATTTCAGTTTTGAAATTTTGGTGCAAACCTAAATGCATAGGTTTATTTTATCAACGGTATAATCTTGCATATTCTCGTAATTCGACAACTACGTTCTTTGGGCTGTCAGCACTGAAACAAAAAAATTTTAGTTAAATCTCGCTCAAACAGGTTTTATTCATATTTTTTGTAACTCACTTTAATACAGCTCTATGAAATTTCAATAGCTGCTCTTGCGTTGCTGTGATGGTACCCCCCGCATTCTCCTTAGGCATTTGAGTAATTGCTTGTTCCAACCAGGAAGCCATCAACTAAAACATTTAACATCATGTTAAAAAATCAGATTTTCATTTTAAAAAGTTTTTAGATAAAGTATAATAATAAAATATTTTTACGTTTTTATTGTGTAAAGTTATCTCGAACAATACTTCAGAAATGTCTGGAAACATGTATGATGATAGTGTGAAAACAGCAGAGTGTATAAGAGTTATGACAAGATTTTGTCCTTTTTCTTGCAAGATTTGCGTGACCAATTGTCTCTTCATGTCAAAATCGGAACGATCTGTACGATTCTGAAATATATGAATATTTCGATTAAAATCTTAATTATATCTTAATTATAAAATCATGAAAAATTGATTGAATGCTTACTTCGTGACTACGTCCACAATGTAATAAATCACAGAAAAATTTCATCACTGAGGAATTAGCTTCTCGATGGTCTAAGCTAACAGATAGTATTGCACAATCTAATATACTATTTATCATAGATGAATGTAAAAATGGAACTGGACATGTTTGCAAAAATCTGGTGCACAATCTGAACAAATCATCTACAGTATCAGGATGATTTTTAAGACCATCAGTTTCTTGAAGAATTGCAAATGTTGGTCCTAGGAAAGCTTCTAGCATTCCAATAAGACCTGATGTATAATCTAATTCTACACCAAAAATATCAACTAATATGGAACCAACATATAAAAAACAACTATGTTGATGTTTGGAATATACTTGAATGATTAATTTCACCATTGGTTCCAGTAAATGTGCACAATACGTGTTCAGACACCTTACCAAAAATCTCAAACAACGACAACATCTTTCCATAATTCTAGCATCACTTTGATATTTTTCACAAGTCTTAACTAACACTGGCCACATCTAGAAAATTGAAAAATTGATTATTTTTAAAATATATTTTTGAATACATTCAAATACCTAAAGGTATGACGATATTATACTAACATCATTTACTCCTCCATGGCAAGGATGGGTGTCTTGATTTTCAACTGGTGGAGATACATTTCTAAAAATAGTTGCTAATCTATCCAACCATAAGATTGGATCAGTTTTTGTATTTCTAACTATCGGAAGATTTTCTTCAATCAAATGGCATAATGGTCTTGCTTGCAACCAACAGAGTTCTTTTAATGGACCATCAACTTCATTATTTCTCAAAGTTGATATTACTTTCGAAATACCTATAAAATATATTTTTTAATTAATAAAAGATACTCATATTTTTTAAAATATTTTCATAAATACCTTTTATTAAACCATTTGCAGCTTCATTACTTATTTCAAAGGTATCCAATAGAGAGGCAATTTGTAATAAACCTTGCACATTAGAAGCCATCTGTGATGGACATGCTGAGCAAATACTTTGTAAAGCAGTTGAAGCTGCACTTCCCAAATCTTTTTGATTTAAACAAGCCAGTAAAAAGTTCAATATTGGTTCTAAGGAAAGGAAGAATTTTTATGAAATTAAATATGAAAGTTATAAGCGCAATATTGAATGCTATATAAGGGATACTTACCCATGGACTGAGGGTGTTTACTGATCCAGTCACACAACTCGCCAAGCAGCAATATGCTTGTGTAACGTACAGCCACATGTGTGTTTTCAGGCAAATTCAATATTGCTTCAACAACTTTTGGAACAACATCATTTTCATCGCTGAAAAAATTATTTCAATTTAAATTGCATACCAAATTTTGTAGAAATATAATAAAATATAATAATATATAATAAAATAAAATAAAATAGACTAAAATAGACGGAAAAATCTTACGGTAAAATATTTTTAGCAACAGCTTGCATCACAAATAAAGCAGATTCTGTCATATCCCACGATGGAGCGATTTGATTTGGTCCATGAGTACTAGTTAATAGAGTAAACATCTGACGAAAACAGTGACTGCTTCCAATTACAAAAACAGTGTCTTTGATTAATTCAGACACTCTAGCTCGAAAATCTGCAAACTGATCACCTTCATCAATCAATCCTAACTGTAAAAATAATCAGAATTAGGATATCTCAAATTCAAATGAGTGTGAAAAATAGTTTCCGCGGAATGCGAAAAACCCAATTGCGATGAATATGAGGAAGCGTACATCGCAGCTCTCTCTGTCATACTTGCCGGAGGGAGAGCGCAAAGCGTGCTTCTCAATAAGAAAATATAACTCCACTATTATAGATATTATATAAAAGTTATCATAATTATTAACATACATGATCTGGTTCCATTTGACAATGCCTACACAAAGCGGTAATTAGCCTTTCAACATGTGGCTTAAAAGTATTTGTCAAATCTACATTGTTCCTTTGATATAGAAGTTCAGAAAGCCCATACCATAAATTAAATGTTATCTGTGCAACCTGAAATAAAAATAAATTATAATTTATAATTTTAATAAATTATAATTGTTCAAAAATGTTAAAATTGTCATACTTCATAGTCATGATGGCTAACACACATCAGAGCAAAGTCTAAACTTTTAATAGCATAATGCTGTTTCCCATTTAAACAGCTATTTATTATTGTGTCTAAGAAAGTTTCACCCAATTCCGTGAAAATCCGACAATAATTGATTGATCTGAAAAATAAGATTCACATTTATGATAAGTATTTGATTGTAATTAAATTATTATAAAGTAATTTAATTACTGTATAACAATACATAACAATACGTACTTATCCATATCTTCATGAGCCACAGATATATGATAAGGCTGTTCTAACTCCAAAATTCGACTGAAGATATCTAATTGAAATTGCTGTAAAGCCATTACAGGTTCTCCAGTAGTTGGATCTCTTTGTACAGATGTATCTTCTTCCAAGATTTGTAAAACAACAGATACGCAATCAGCAGCAGTTTCATGTAACGATGATCCAGACAAATTATTTTTTAAGACTTCAAATGCTATATTTAAAATGCTTCCAAATAACACTGAAGTTAAAGGTATAGCATGTATCATTACCCAGCTTGTAAAACACCTTAAAACTTTGATACATATTTGCACATCTTCAACTTGTACTACACATTCAGTCTAAAAAAAATAAAATTTGTATTAAACAAGCATATTATTTGAGTGTTGATAAAAGGCAAATACTCACCAAAAATAGCATAATAGCATCTCCATTCGAATGGAAATTATGAATTATTTGCTGTCTACGATTTGCTCCTAGCCTGAGAAATCGAGAATTAACTTCTTCAGGTAATACAATCAATATTTCCAAAAGCGGCCATAAACTTTCTGAATTTTCACCAAATTTTTTCAATAGATCCATAACTGGTTCTTGCCATGTTGCCATCTGCAGTATAAAGTCTGCTAATGCCAACGACAACTAAGAAAAAAATTATCTTTCAATTTATTTGTTTACAATTAAATAAGATTTTATAGCAAGATATATGAACAAAAATATTTACCTGAGTTACTATAATGGGATTCGTGTTTTTATTTATCTGTGATATGTGATCCAGCAAAGAATCTCTTAGAGAAACATGAGATGAAGCAGGAAGTTCATGAAATGAAAGTTGAATTTTGGATCTCATTGTTTGAGCCGCAAAATAACAAGATTCTAAATCTCTTTTCTGTAACAACATTTCATCTGCTATCTTCCAAGCATACACCTGAAAAATATGGCATAATTATTTTCAAGTACACAATTTTTTTTTCAACAAAAAACGAAATGTCAGTTATAACTTTCTAAAATGCATCATAACACAACACACAAATTCAAAATAAGAGCAAAACCAAATATAACCTCTTTGCCCAGTTTCAAAACATTAATCTTAAATTGAATGACTTGAACATGATGCAGTAAGCACTTAATACATTAAAAAATAAACAATGGTACACGTGCAAAATAAATTATTGATGAAATACTAACAGATTTTTGAAGCTGATTGAGCCAATGATTCGCCTTTTCTTTTTCAGTGGGGTTAGGGTTTTGATATAACGTCAAAACCGCTTGATAAACAAGATCTAATGTCGGGGGAGAATCCATCCTGTCAACGTTGATTGTCACGACAATTTGGTCCAAGATACACAAAATTAAATAATTTAAAGGAAATGCCGGGGGTGTAATAATCAGTGGTATGCGTTGTTTTGTTTGAAGCCCGGTAAAGTCAGGGGCTGCTCCTTATTGGAAGCGTTGTCGGTTGCTCGTGCAGTGCGGCACTGCCAGTTATTACCACTATAAAATTCGCGTTTATTTTGTGTGTATAAACGGTGAACCGGTGAGCGCGCCGTCCGCTATTCACTGGGCTCCAACGTCGCTGAGGCGACATCTGAATTGTCAATTATCTTGACGGAATCAGAAGCAATGTTTTGAATTGTGAACGCGCTTTTCGAGCGAAATAGGAAAATTTTGAGGTTTGTGGGAAAATAATCAACAAACATCATTAATGGAGAGCTAAAAAAAACAAATCATTCAGGCGGTTCAGATATTTCATTTAGGGTGCATTTACTGTCTTTTTGACGAGTTAAAATTTTGGGTAGTGCCGCCGCACGTGCGTTCGGTGTCTGACTGGCGACTGGCGAGAGTTGACGTTCAACGTGCCGAAGTAGTGTCTTTGTACACGCTGCTGGCCCTTTTCCCGCCATCTTCGTAAAGTGTGAATATTCGAATTTCATGGTAATTTTACGATTTCCCGACGAGGCGACGAACGAGATGTAATATCGTACGTACCGTTATAATGATAAATCGGTTCACGTACTAACTCGTGCGTTTATAATTATGAACTTTTTTTAAATTATTAATTAGAATGATGTCAGAAAATCCATTATTAATATCGAGGAGTAAAAGATTTTCAAGTACTATTTCTACTATTTTTAAAAACGCTTAACTTATTTAAATTGTTTCTATCAAACAAACATCAAACAATATATTTTTTAATAATTTTTTAAAGCAGTAATTTTTAATTTATCATCGTTGCAACTATTTCAGATACCCGGCTGTTCTCGAAAGCATTATTTAAAATTTTCAAGATACCATAAGCTCTCGAAGTAGCCATTCTTATGCCATGCTCTGAAAATAAACGTATAGGACCAAGGTAAGACTCGCTCGACGCTCCCGACGAAGAGTAGCACGATTCTATTTAAATGAGCACATAAGCGTGGGGAGCGTCGCGCTGATATGTGTGAACGAAATAATTACTTTCGATCTAACTTTGCTTTATTCAACTACGATATTTGAAAATAATTTGTACATATTGAAACGTGGGGACACACTTATCCTCTCGCATTTGAATTATCATATTACGCTTTTTTATTCTTTTACTTTTTTTTATAATGCGGTTGTAACATACAATAGTATTTTAACCACAGTATCTCGCCACCCCAACTTTTCACAATTTCGTACTTTTTTCATGATTACGCCTTTCAATGTTTTATAATTCATTCGTCTTAACTTCAATGCATTCCATCGCCAACAGTTAAATTATTAATGCAGCTTCGATTCTTTCGTCAAATTTATTAAAAATTGATTTGATTAAAAAAGAGAATTCAATTGTAACGTGAAGATTAAAAAATCGTGTGTTTAAATGCATTCGAACTTGGTTTTTGTAGATTACTTTCATCAGTCGCCGATAGTATCGTAATTTAGTCGTGTTAGCTTGTTTAGTAAATGTACTGGGTCAGTATGAAGTTTCCGTTAAAATTGTCTTATTTAAAAAAACTGTCATGCATGAATTTTCGAGTATCAAAAATAAAAAAGGTACGTTTACTTTTATGATATTTCAAGAAGCAGAAGTAGTTTGTTGGGCATTTTCTAGCAGACACGTTGAAATGATTTCTAAATAAAAAAATAAAAAAAAAAAAAAAGTAAAAAACCATTTTCAAGTGCATTGTACGCCAACAGGTACAATAAATTAAAAATAATTAATTTAAAAAAAAACTGAAGTCGATAAATCTTAATAGTTTTTAAATAAATTACGTACGTAATTACGCAAGGTTGATATATTTTCGTTACGTATTAAACAAAAAAATTTATCAAGATTTCATTATCTCAAGTTGCTTAAATAAATATATATAAATCGTAGAAATTCTTTATACTGATTTTATAAACCAATGATCTTGTTTTCGAGAAATTTCATTTTAATACATAATTTCATTTGTCTATAACATAGCTGTTATTTTTTTATACATTGCAGTTCGTCAGAAAATATACATAAGTACATTCTAATCGTCTCTCTCGTTTACTGATGAAATAGGTTATACTCAATCACAATTCACAATACTTAAAGGCGTTTTAGATAATTTAAAAATTCATGGTTTGATGATAAAAATTGGTAATTTTTATTCAACTGTAGTGTAATAGTTGGTTTTGCTGCCATAAATTAACACATATTAATGCGTATAAGTTATTTCAATTTTCCTTGACCCTCTGTTGCATTACAATTTCATTTATGAAACAATTGTTGTTCTCTTTCAATCTCTATACATGTCGTGATTATATATTATGCAATGTTCAAAATTTATACACTAATATAATTAAGCGCGAGCACCGCATTTGTAAAATGTATATTGTATTTGTCATACAGATAGCACGCTCATAAAAATTTCGAAGGTTTTTTTTTTGTAAAAATCATCATTTTATTTATTTGATTAACGTGCACCATACATTTTTTATCTGTCGCAAATGCACCGCTCACAACAAATTCGTTGTTCGCGCGTGTGTCAGAATTTCATTATTTTTTTTATTCACACATCAATACATCGATTAGATCGACATTTGTCAGAAAACGGAAAGAGATGATGAGAACGATTTTGAGATAAGTAAGTTAAATTAATAAAATCTGTCACGCGCACTAAGTGAGAGACATTCTTCGAACTACAGTCGCAAAATTGATTTTAAAAAGTAAAAAAATTCATCACCCACTTAAGTCCATTTTACACTATTTAAATACAATAGAACTTTTTCTTACATCTTAAATAATTTTTGATACAAAATTGTCCTGCATCAAGTCAGGTGGCGGCACGTATCAGATTCGTAAAATCCGATTGAGTGTGACAGTTATCGATTACAAATAAATGATACATCCACCATTGATGTACATTAATCTTGACTGTATTACAGGAAACTAATCGAAAAATTATGTTTGGTGTGATACACAATCTGATGTGTATACATGTGTAGATAGACATACAGTTGATGAAGATTATATGCATTGTTGTTTGTTGCCTCTGCCGTTCATACACAAACTAGAACATTCGCGAACATAACAGTCGTCTATAAAGAGGAATACAAAATTACTCAAACTGTAATTGATTTATTCAATAATGAAAAAACTCTAAGGCTTATTAACAGATTCGCAAGATTCTTGAAGATGAAAAGGCGGCGAACTTAGCATTTTCGTTAATCTAACGGCCTAGCAAGTATTTGGTGGAGGCTAGGGAGAGCTGGAGTCAGAATTGCGTAGGCTCCGAGACGGACGAAAAGAAATGGTTTTTTTCCAAGTTGCTGCCGGGGTGTGCTGACAATGATCTGTTGTGTGTGTGTATGATGATTATTTGTTGCGGTGAACGCAGCAAGGAGTGGGTAGAGGCGATACTGATCACTAATGTGTCGGTCCAACGCAATTCTGACGAGGGGACATTTTTGTTGTTCTCTTAACATCTAAAAGTGGCAGAGATAAAGGAGGATTCGTCCGACAGGCGTCGTCAACAACGCTAGTGCGCTACCAAACCACTCAATATGAGAGTATGTATTAATGAGCTCGAGTATGATGCCGACGAACGACGACGGCTACAACGACGAGGGTTGTGGGCACGCCGACGGCCTCCTCCACCTCTTCTTACATAAAGGTGCTCTGCAGCTCCTTTATTATACGTCTTCTTCCTCATCAGCATCATCTTCTTCATCTTCTGCAAATAAATAATAAAAAACATGAGTTAGAGATGAAAAATATGAGAGCTACCATATTTATCGATGTAATGAAATGGGTTTCGACATTTACCTTCATCTAGGTCATCTTCGCCTTCTGGCACATCTTCCTCGTCTTCCTCTTCCTCGCCGTCGATATCTTCGACTTCCTCATCTTCACCTTCAACATCATCATCACCTTCGTCTTCTTCTACGTCATTTTCTCCATCACCATTCTCCTCCTTCTTCTGCTTCTTTGGCTCGTCATTTTTCTCCTGTAAAATGAAAGAAAAACAAGGCTCATTAGTTATGATAATCAAATAAAGAGCAATAGTATTTAGAAGAGAGAAAGTATAACGAAAGTGCTTTTATATCGATTGTCAAACGAGCTTTTGAAAACATACATAGATAAAAGGCGGATGTTTTCCTATGATATTTTCAACAAGCTCGCTCGATTCGATTTACGCGGGTGTAGAAAAATCGAGCGCGTCAGGTCGCATGCGTGCACAAGCGCGCGCGAAAAAAAGAATATGCCTCTCGCTCTGCTTTGAGGCTCGATGTGCAATGACTGGCTTATGCAACAAAGCAATGCGCTGCATGCGGCGAGATACAATTAGCCGAGAGTGTCATGTCTGTTGCGCGCGGCGAGCATGAAAATCCAGGACAAGGGAGCATCGATCGCACCAGTATCAAGGAAAAGGAGTCGGCGTGTATGCGCGCGCGTGATCGTAAAACGCGCGGCGGTGATCGATCATATATTCCGCTCGAAATGCAACAAACACCCCTCGCGCGTTCGATCCCGTGTAACTGCTCTATTCAACGTGTTTTTTTGTGTGCATAAGTGCGCACACGATGTACGACGCTTGAGTTTTACGATAAACGTTACTCGACATTGGTCGGCATTTTTGCTCTCCGCGACGACGATAATGCCGCTGCCGACGCGTCGAAGAGAGAAAGGAGTCAAAGGGGTTAGATAAACGAGAGTGTGCAGAAGAAGCACATACATATAAGTTGTCGTTACATACGTAAGCGTCAATTCGAGATAAAGACATGAATTTGCGCTCGTCGCTTACACACACATAATATAACTCGAGACGACGACGACGACACGCGCGAGGCGTCGAGAGTTGCTGCCAATAAAGAGGCAGTTTCATGTGTACGCAATTATGCACGCAGCTCTCTCTCTTTCTCTCTCGCGTACATTACTCGCGTCGAGTCGTGCTGCGGCTTCAATCGTTATCGTCGGCGATTGATTAAACTTCGGTGCATATTATTATAATGTATAGCGCGCGAATAACGCGCAGACGTAGGTAGGTAATTAGCGCGTGCGGGCGGGCGCTCCGATCGTTGCGGAGTAAGGCCGACAACACCTGTGGCGCACAGTCATTACGTACAAACGAAAGAATGAAGGAGCAGCGTCCGAGGTGAATATTTTCGCGGCATCGATATCGAATATATTACTCACATAAAAATAGCTATGTGGAATCGGGGGTCGTCGGGCGAGGACGAGTGCATGCCGAGGGGCATAAACGAGAGAGAGCAAGAGAGAACGCGTGCCGCGTCCACGTGACTTGGGCGCGCGCGCGAGCAAGAGAGCAATGATGTTCTTCGCCTCCTCCGCGGGAGTCGGTCGCGCGCGCTTACGTCGATGATGCCTCTCGTCGTCGGGCTTCACGCTGTGCGCGACTCGAGGCAAAGTAGGTAGTACATTACGTACACACCCCCACCGGCGCTCGGCGCAATTTTCAAAAGAAAAGGGTTCGACACAGACAGAAAGAGAGAGAGAGAGGAGAGAGAGAAAGAAGAAGCACAGTGGCAAGGAAAATGGCGGTGTTTGTCCGCGTGCAGAGAATATCTCGAATTCCAGATATATTTCGCGGGGAAAAAGCGTCAAGGCGGCGGAGAAAGGAGCGCGCGCGATATTTTCTCACACGGGTTCGGTATGATACACCTACAAGCCGCTAGTCAATTTGCCTCGTATTATAAATACATACGCGTCTGCGATATCACGTCGGAGTGACGAATGTATTATAAGTAACTACTACTACGCGAGTAATTGATGTGTGGGCTCGTGTGCAGGTATGTTATGTATGCGTCTATATGTATGATATATATAAAACGCGGCGTCACAGGCGCCTCCTCGACCATGTTGAAAAACATAGTGGTAGTAGTTACACATATATAAAAGCATTACAAGAGTCGAACTCGAGCGTCCGTAACTGGCAGGCGTGTGCTGCACACACTGTGTGTACTTTGGAGCAACAAACGGCAGCAGCAGCAGCAGCAGCTCTCGGCTCTCGTGCGGCTTGGTTGGCGCGCGCCGCCGCCGATGCCGAACATGGCGTCTTTCACGGGGTCCCGCGCGCGCTCCGAAATCCCTATATAGGTATATAATAATAATATCGCGTATACGTTACAGCGTGTGCACGAAATTCGGAGTTATTCGTATACGCGCGCGTAACGTCTATTGACGTATACGATGACAATAATAATATACCGGAGAAAGTATCTGTGATGCAATAGAAAAAGGGGAGACCCCGGCGACCCGTTTCGACAGCTTTAAATGTATGTGTGTGTGTGTGTGTGTTTGTGTCTGTGTACTCTTTCGAAGCTTTTCCGTGAAAACGACGTCGACGCGGCGCTTGAGAAATCGATTTTCCGTGTGCCGCCTAAAGACGGACACATCCGTATGGCATTGGCTGACAAATGAGCGAAAATCGACCGATGAGCTCTCTCGCTCTTTCTCTCTCTCGAGTATACTCGCGCAATGTACAACGTCGTCGGTGGGAACATAATTCGGTGTATGTGTACGCGACTTTTCAAAGACTGCTGCCGAGCAGAGCCTCGAGTACATAAGCTGTGCAAAGCGTGCGCTTCGACCGTCCTGTATTATATGCCACTATATACATATAATGTCTATATGTATACATACATATATCGGAGTCGAGTCAAGCGACGCGTCGGCCATAATGGATCGCTGCTTGCGCTGCCGCTCGACGCCGCCAGCGTCGCTGCATCGTACAACTACTACACGATAATGCATGCCCATCTGTCTGTGCGTGTGTGCGTGTGTGTGTGTTTACACACAAGCGCATCTCTCGCTCGGTGCACTCTGCACCTACACAGACACCGGCAATTCGGTGCATAAACGCAAGTATACACAAGCTTTCCGTGGCATTACTATTATGCTATAAGCTCCGACCCGCCGCTTTATCAACTTATTAACGTTGTGAGCATTGGTCGGCAATCTCGGTGGCTCCGCGAAAAGCTTTCCTCTCTCGACTCGACTCGCGCGATTATCGACGCGACCGATAATCTGCCGTAAGAGAGAAAGAGAGAATGACGCGCGCGTTCACTGACAGTCTCTTTCGCTTGCTCTCTCGCAGTGCCGGCCCCGGCTTTATACACATACAGAGAAAGCAGTCCGTGTATGTTTGTGTGTGTATGGGAATAACACGATCACATTCAAGCTGTGTATGTGTGTGCGCGCGCGCGTTCGGAGCCGAAGCAACATGGCGGCGTCCCTTGGACTCGGCCAATGCGTACGCTTAAAAAAGCGGCTTGATTCGTTTGCTTGTTTACATGAGAGAGAGTCGCTTGATGTCGTACGTCAGTCAAAAATATTCAGGTGCAAAATGATGCCTATAACGCGAATACGTTGACGTGGAATATCTGCGAGTTGTTTGTTCCAACTTTGTATAGGACCGAAACTTGATGAGTATTTGAATAATTCAACTCCGTTAACGATGTTTGTTGAGTCAACTTTTAAATTAATTTTGTCTCAGAAATCATGAAATAGTTAATCATACTTATTGAGCGAAAATTAGGATAGACCCATGTTACCGCAAATCAATGGGCTGGCAAAGACGTGTTACAAGCCGGGGAAAAAACGGAGCACATGGCGTAAATATGAGAGACGAGGAGCCGCGCGCGCGCCCCGGCCCGCCCGCTTCATTCATTCATTTCATATCTACCTTGTGTACGAACGACTTTTTCGCTATTACTCTTACTCGTTCTCGATCGCTTGCTTAAGCAGCCGTTCAAGAATTGTATTTTAGAGCCATTAGAAAGGTTTTGCACGCGACGAGCGTGGAGATGGCTCCGAAATTATTTTGGAGCAAATCGAGTATCGCGTATGCATGATTCGCGCGCGCGCGCCTTATAACAGCAGCAAGTAGTAATAATAGTATAGTAAGCATGGCGTCTTGTCGCTCGTACAAGTCGTAACGTTTATGCGCGGGTACAGAGCACTTACACGACAAATCTTTGAGATTTCGCGCTCGCTCCCTCTATATACATTTTACGTGTTTTACGTATAAAAACGAGAGAGGCAGAAACCGAACGAGTGAGAGAGACTTGTAAAAGGAGTCGGGATATATATCTCTCTCTCGCTCTGACCAACGCGCGGTATGTATATACCACGGCGTATAGGTATATACACCAACCGTGCGACTACTCGTGCGCGCATATATAGCGAGCGTATAATATAAAGCACGGCGCGCCATTTTTCACCTATAGCCAGCCAACCGCCGGAGAACCGTCTGCGCGTTATATTTCTCATGATAAAAGTATACACGCATAGACGTATTATTCGTATAACGAGAGATATATGCATTACGCTCGTATGCATTCTCGGGGATGCACACACGCAAGAGCGTGTGTCTCTGTGCGTACACACGATTGTAATTCGCACGTAATGCACTTGAAGCGAGACTAGAGGCGTACCGTAGTATATGTGTGTGTGTGTGCGCGCAGGTCGGTAACAACGAGCGTCGAGGCTCGAGACCGAGAGAGAGGTAAGCGTCTATTAAAAAAGTCGACGTGGTTCTTTCGGCGAGCAAATATATAGACGAAGAAAAATTCGGAGCGAGGAATCGGTGTGTTTTTACTGAACGGAAATATAACGTCGAATCGCGTAAGCTAGCGAGAGAGAGAGATGGCCGCGAGCAATCATTGCAGTGTAGTATACACACACACGTACGGCGGCAGCGAGCAGCAGCAGCAGCATTTACTATATATCGGAGCGCAACGATTGAAGGAAAATGGAGTCGGCGCGCGCGCTCTCGACCGGCCGGCGCAGACGGACGTACACGCACACATACACATACACGCGCAAAATGTATATACAACACACGTAGTATCGTATCGTATAGTACAACAACACATACAGACACATCGAGCACAAGCCGAGAAAAACTTGCATGCCTCGCGCTTACGTGCAAGTTAAGTCTATCCCATCTCCGGAGTCGAGTCTATGTACGCGCGATGAATTTCTGTATACATATATCTATACGTATCGCGCGTAACGTGTGTACGTATCACAATCTCAAACGCGCTCGTCTGTGTATGTGTGTATGCCTCCTCGGTATCGTCCATGTCTCGTACTACACATACTACAAATACTACTACTGTATGCGCGCTGCTCCTACGTTGCACACGTATATTGTAATATGCGCACACGCTTTTGCAGCTATGCCTCGTTCAACGTGAAGATATATGTACTGTACTGCACATGCACGCGCACTGGCACACTCTCTCTCACACACACGCACACAATCAATCACGCACTCGCTCAAATAATACGATTTTTATTTGTATCTAATGCAATAAATCTACGCATGAGGCATAAAGAGTGAGGGAGAGAGAGAGAGAACGAGATGCACACGAGGCGAGACGCCGCCACCGCCGCCGTAACCATTTGCACTGTACTGTGTTATGCTCGTGAGGCGGCTCTACATGCCTATTGCGAAATAGCCGCTGCCAAGTTTAGTTGAGAGAGACGTTTGAGTGAAAAAAAAAATGAAGGAAAAATCGAACGCGCAGCAAAAAGGAGTTGCATCGCGCGCGAAGCATTCGATGGAATTTACAGAAGTTAACAAAAGGTACTAACCTCAGCCGCCCTCTTGATACCCTTGAGCTCGCACTTCGCGTCATTGTTGGGTTTGTCGTTCTCCGACACCTTCTCGACGACGACGTCTCCGCTGTTCTCCTTGGTACTCATGTTTAATTTGTGTTTTGTGTTTTTTTAAGTTAAAAAGTTTAAGAGAGATACACACGCGTGTGCTTCGGGGAGACTCTTAGTGTCAGAAAAAAAGATAGACAGTGAGAGAAGCGTGAAGAGTGTCTTAAGGACGTTCACTGCAGCTCAGCTTAGCGAGAACTGAGACGACTGGCGACTGAGTAGTAGCGAGCCGAACGAAACGGAGCACACGACGGCGTTGGTTTCCGGCGAAATGCGGCCGCCGAGCAGAGCAGAGTAGTATATGCCTATAGCACGCTTATACACAGGCACAGAGCACAGGCTTAAAGTGCGCGCGCGCCACCACCGCCGCCACCGTGCAGCACCACGGGCCGGAGCAGCAGCGGCGGAGCCAGGCATAGGCAGCGCCGCCAACCGGCCTCGTACTTATTATCATTGTTGTTATTATTATTGTTGCTCTGTGTGTGTGTGTGTGTGTGTTTATGCGCTGCAGTGCGCGAAAACGGGACGGAGATATGACCCCCGAGCTGCAGCACTGGTGCGACAGAGATGCGCTTATATTTTATACGTGTGTGTGTATATAATACGGAGTCGCGAGGCTACATATATTTTGCACATCTATATACATGTATATAATGCACACAAGCTGGAGGAGAAAAGGGAGAGCGCAGCACAGCAACCCGAGCGAGGGGGAGGCTGCCGTTTAGTGGCTGGCTGTATGGAGAAGCAGCAGCAGTACAGCAGCGGCGCTTGATACCAATCGGGGGAGAGAGACGGACAGAAAACGGAGAAGGAAAACATGGAGGGGTGTGCTGCTGCTCCGTTTTCGATAGTGCCTCGTTTCCACCGACGACTACCGTAATATTACCGGCTGCCCCTGCCTAGCATGCAATTCCTATGATTCTTCGCGTCGACGACGACGACGTCGATGCCCCGAGCTCCGATGTACGTAGCTCCGAATTATGTCGCGTTTACACCGACGCAGAGGCAGAGTCTATACGCGTTCCTTCTCGTTCTTTCTTTCCCTCTCTCGCTCTTTCTCTCTCTCTCTGTCGGTTCTCATCTTCTCGTAGGCGAGATTCTATACATAAGCGCGCGGACCTCGCCACGCTTTATACTTGTATATATTGACTCTTACTCACTTGCTCGACACTCGTGTAAAGCCTTTTTCCAATCTTTTATCGATGACGATCGACGGCCTGTGCCAATTTACAATCGAGCATTATACTTATTCGTTTGCATTTCGTTTGTTTCAATACGGCGGGCTTGAGCAGTGCGTCGTCGACTTTTCTCAACGCCGTGCAGCAGTTCGCATCGGGACGGTCTCGCGCGCAAGTTCGAGAGCGCTTTTTCACGCGGTCACGACTTTCGATTATTATTTTGTCGAAGGCTCAATGAGTTTTCTGTTTTATTTTTTTGCAGAATCAACGACGTAGTTCGCTCCGAAACGCTGTTGTTTGCGTTTACGTAGTTTGCTTTACGGCGTTCTTCGAGAGTTTTAAATTATGCGCGAGATAGTGGCAGAATGTGGCAAATATAGATATATGGTTTCTTCCTCGCGTTGACTCGTTCGAGGCGCGCGCATATTCGCATTCGCGCCCGCGCTCTTTTAATCCCCTTTTATACTTTTCCCTCTACGGGTCGTCCTGCAGCCTATAAATACAAGTAACGAGTCTACTTTACTGTAATTTCGTTTGTGTCGTACTTATAACTTATTTTCCACTCATTAAAATGACAAGGTTGTTTTAACTGGTAATTGAAAAAATAACGATTTTCAACGGTGGCTAATGATCATCCCCTTAAATACATTTACATCGGTACGTGTATCGAGCTCTCGCCTTCGCGTGCCACCTCGATAGCTATATTTTCCCGTAACGAGACTTATTTTTCTCGAACCTTGAGACAACAAGTACGCGGTCTGGAATTCTCCCACGATGAAAGACTACCACTAAGTAGCGGCAAACGCAGCATCATCATCATCATCATCATATCTCAAAAATAAAATAGCTCATAATTATAATCATCGTCGCATCGTATCTATCGTCTATCTATGGGTGCTCTCTATGTGTATATATAAATATATTTCGAAGGAATCGTCTCGTTGGTCGCGCCTGCTACGCACACGTGCTATTGTTATTATATACGCGCGCACGTTCCAAAACTATATATACGCGACGGTTTATCTGTGGCGCGTTGATCCGCGCCGCAACTTTCCAAACGGTGCAATAATACATAATATAATTTCGAGTCCAGCGAGCTCCAATTTTCGACGAGATAATCGGGCCTCGAGCGCGTGAAATTTCCATTTCGATTCTCCAAAGAAAACGACCGCGACTGCACACGTGTGCGCGTGTGAGTGCAGCGCGTCGGTGAGTTCTACTGCGGTGCATTATTATGAGGCGCAAGCACACGATATACACGTATATATGCACGCACGCACACACGGACGAGTCGTGGTAAACATTTATCGTCAAGATTTTTCCGCTAGACCCTTGCCTGCTGCTACTCCGCGAGTATATCGTTTTCTATTTTTAACCGGCAAGAAGGACATGAGTCACTCTAGCGCGAAGCCAGATATATAGGTATATACTGCATGAATGCGACCGCATGTCGGCAGGCTACTATATATCTTTCTCTCCTTTTCTCTCATATACTCTGCGGATAATAAGTGAAGAAGTAACATTGGCGTCGGACGTGTGCTCGCGCGTATTCGAGGATAGGTGACGTGTGTTTGTATACCTATATACGTGTGCACGATCAACAGCCACAAGCCATAACTGGTGCGAGCGAGATGGAGCGAGAAAAGGGAGAGAGAGAGAGAGAAAGAGAGACGAGGAGTAGGTATATATATAAGCGCAGAATAAAACGGAGAATCACGGATATCCGACATTCTTTCGGTGTGTTGGTGGAGCTGCTGCTACACAAGCATATTGTAGTCGCTGTTTGTGAGAGAGCACCGATGCTATATCTATATGTATTATATTGCCAGCATTGAGTAAAGAAGCGAAATAGACCGAAAGAGAGAGAGAGAGAAAAGCGGCGTTGCCGATCTTACAGATTGTACGAGCTCCGAATATAGTGCAGTATTGCATTTTGTATATGGACGCGCATACGGAGTCGCGCGGATGTTTGTTCGAAACGCGTTGGCGGGATGTTTCGAATTTTCCATGATGCATTCTTGGCCCGCAATATTCTCTGCGTTGTTCTGCAATTCAACTCTAACGATGAAGCTCCATGACTATTAGATATTTCCGTATTTATACCGATCGTTAATAATCGTAAAAAACTCTGTTCAATAAACAATTTTTACCATAAAAATGCATCGTATAATGGATGCAATTTTTAAGGCGTAGCGGCTCGGAACTCCGAAATCGACTCAACGCGCAAGCTCGCAATAATTTTCGTGCTCCAAACGATGATTCCAGAAAAGCCGATCTTTAAAATATTCGCAACGAAGAGGAGAAAAACAACTTTCTCGAAACTCTTGGAGCTTGTGCGCTAATGGCGGAAACAAGCATCGTTGGCAACGCAGCACTGGGCCGCGAATCCGAACGCTCCTGCCCCATCTTTGTTCAACGCGTATATCACGGTGCCGCCGAGTCGGTATACGCTATATAGCGTAGTTTTACACACACTCGTGCGTGTTTCGCTTGTGTGCTGCGTGCTCGAATCGAGCGCGGCGCTGCGCCGTGTGCGGCAGACTCTCGCATCTCTTCCATTCGCCGGTAAGCCGACGTTCGGCAGGTTCTCTCCTTCTTTCTCTCTCGCATATTATTACATGTATACACTGAAAACCTGGGCCATGATTTTTCAAACGCGTGAGTCTACGCGACTCTTGGTAGCGGCGGCGGCGCCGCTTGCAGCAGCAGCAGCAACAAAATATCAACTGCGCCAGCCGTCGTGCAGCTTTCTCGGTACTCGGGTGTCTCTGCGCGCGACACGTTGCATTTATGCATCCACTTCCTCTCTCTCTCGGGCTCGCTTTTATATGGAATTCATTCATACATGTATAAAAACTAACGCGGACTTGTATAGCAGCGGTGTAGTTTTTCAATTATAATGCATAACGATTTTATGTAACTCGGTCGCAGTTTTTGGATACGTTGTACAGAGAGTCGATCGAAAAACATCGTTTCGAGAGAGCTCGATATTCAAATAGTACGTATTTGTTGTGTCAACGTAGCTTTTCTATGTTTTGCTTTGAGACTCTTTCCTTTTTTCTCTTTCTCTTTGGCTACGTCGTCCTTCGTCTAAATATTTTACTACGAGCGTACAACGCGTCTCGCGCGTACATTATATAAATGTGCATGTATATTTCTCGCACGTTATATTCCGCGTTTGCCAGCGCGGCAAAGATTATATTTGAAAGCGACCGCGCGTCAATTTTTTTTTTTTTCGAACGAAAAAAATCTCGATTTCGACAAAGCGATTTGTCCAACGTTTCGAATGATGTAATAATAATAAAAACCGCTCGTCCGCGAGCTCTCAGCCACAAAAATACGCTGCTACACAAAATTATTATAAAATGATATTTCTTTTTTCATTTCGAAGCGTCGCGCGATCTCGCCTGCACGTCTTATACATGTGCGTAATATATAGCGCGTATTACATATACCCATTCGAGCGAGATAAGAATAAACGATAAGGAATGTACGATTTTTATCTCAAGAAAATAATCCATATCTTTGAATTTAAACCCGTTACGCGCCGCGTTGTTTATTCATCTGCTGCGATATATGTGTTATTCGAATCGTGTATTGGAGCATTGGAGATCTCGCGACGGGAATGACACAATTAACTATTCGCGATGTTCATTTTGAGGGGAAAAATACAGAATCGTAAGAGACGAGGTGATATAAAACATACCCCGAGATCGAGCTTATATCCTGTGCCCAAGGAAAGCTTGTACATCCGCGCAATGATAACGGGAACGTTAACAAGAGAGAAAGTAGAATAATTGACAAGGGGTGGATAGTGCAAGTTATATACATGTATAGCTACAGTGAGCGAAGAAACAATGTATACATGCATATAACTCCACAAGTACATGCTCGTATATAAGCTTTGTAAAAAGCTATGGAAGAACCGAGAGCGACAACTCGGCAAGAGAAGAGCGAGCGAGACACAAACACACTCACACACAGAGCTCTTGCTCGAGCTCGCGGCATCGACGAATCGCAGCAGCTTTCCATCTTTGTTTCTCCAACGAAGCTCGCGATGATTTGCCTTTTGACGAGCCATACGCGGCTACTACATACACGCGATTAAGCTTTCAAGCCCGAGCTTACAATGAAACGCTCGATCGAGCAGGAAGACGCAGAAAGGCGCGGGAACTTTTAAACGATCGACGCTCGTAACGATCGTTCGATGCGAAAAATCGAGTTTTTCGCTGGCAGTGGGTTTTTGATACTTGGCCAAGACAGCGTCGATCGAGGCTGGTTCGATGAAAACCATAGAATCGATTGCATTCGGGCTTTAAATCTTTGCCACGTAGTCTCAAGGACATCGTCTTCTGCCGACCGGAAAAAATGGCGACCGGTTGCGCTTGCGCACACGACGAAAGGAGCTTCGTTTCGTATTTAGGACATTATTTAGGTAGCGTATTTGGTGACGATAGCTCGTTTATGCCCACCAAATGGCAATGTTATCGGAGAAAAATAAAAATAGTCCGTTATAGTTGCCTAGAAAACACCGGAAGAACCACCTCGGTAGGTCGTGCTTGCTCGCCTGTGTACGATCATTCTTATAGAAGCATCCTAATACACACACATACTCACACATATTTACACACACACACGAACGAATTGCGCTCTGACACTTGATACGTATTCATTCCGTACAACTTGCGAGCGCAACGAGTATACGCGTATGCGTGGCGGGCGCGTATACGAACGCACTCGCACACGCGCTCACCATCGAAAATGCATGATTGGGTGCGTGTGCATGCGTGCGTAACGTTGTAATACAAATGAAATAAAAAAAAACTGCTAAATCCATATAGAAGTGTACTAATACGTATGTATCTTGTCGCTCTGACTCAATGCGGCACGCATACTACTTTATACATGCGCGAGTTAATTCGATCGGCCAATCGCTGCCTGCTTATGCTCTCGACGCTTATTATATTGAATGTCGCATTAGCAACGCAGCACATACTAATAACGTAATAATATTATACGAAATAATGTCCGCGAATAAATGCGTTGAAAATTTCAATCGACTCTCGGTACCTACGATTATCTTTGATATTTATATACACTGTCTCCGATGCACATATGCGTTTAAAAAGTGCATACACTGCATCGGTTAATTATGCTCGGCCGAGAATCGTACAATTGGAATATGCAAGATACTCGAGAGCATAGGTGTGTGTGTGTGTGAGTGTGCGGAATTGAGCTGGCCGCAGCAGCTGCACACAGATAGCACGTCTAGAAATGTAAGAATACGCGCGCATTATAAAAAATATATGTGTGTGCATTCGGAGGAAACGATATGGCTCACGGTGAGCTGCTTACATGCGAGTGCCTTTAGGAAGGAGTGAAAGACGCGATCGAACCGACAATTTCTATTTCGTGTATGTTTATGGTTGCCGCTGCAGCGAATTATGCCATCAAGGAGCGATTGCGAGAAGCTGTTCAGGTTAAATCAAATCTAATTAGGGCAATGACACCTAGAAGATGGATTTTTCGACAGTTGTCATCTATTTATTTTTGAAACATCTTCCCTGAGCTTCGCACTTTACAATAAATATCATATAAGTATGCAAGTATCGCTAAAGTCGAGCTTGCACTCGGCTCGAACTTCTTCAAGTATTCCGTCGTAAACTTAATTTCAGACAATGTGATCTCATTTCGAGTTATTCATCCTATAAAGCATCGTGCAGCACTATATGCAACAGAGTCACGAGCATGAGAACACTTTGAGAGATTCGATGCGTTTTTGGTCCGACGTTGGTTACTCCTTAGCTGAAAATTACGCGAGCCTACGACACACTGCAATCACACGTATATCGTATTCCAAGACCGAATATTTTTTCCAAGTTCGAAAATAGCATGGTCAAATGTTTTTTTTTCTTCAATCAAATATATTGAATTGTACATCAGCAAGTTCAATCGAGCACAATGATTGATCGATACTTTGCTGCGCATCGTGTATGCATTAGCAACGAAGAGCTATATTCGTTCGTTCTATTTCGTTCATTCGACGATGTATCTAAAATCTGTGAAATAATCGGTGTTTTTCAGGGTGGATGAATTTTTAACAATTGTCTTACAAGCGGATAAACGATAACGACAATCAGTAAAAATATTAATATTTTTTTAAGTACCGACGGTTGGTAATATTTGTTCTATGAGACACTCGATGATGCATGCCAACTTTGAGAAAAATGTGAATATTTATTACAATTCACTTAAATTCTTCTCGTAATTACATTATGTTTGAAAGGCAAATTATAATAATGCAAATTTTAATCATTGAACCAACCAGATCCGATTTTTCTCGATCAATTATTTTCGGTAAATTAACATTTTTTAATATTTATTAAATAAATTTGTTGTTAGAATTAAAAAATTCTGATTATCCTGAAAATCGATCATTTAATAGAGTATTAGTTTATTTTTAAACCATCAAAAAAAGAATTTCCCGCCGAATCAATCGACAGGCCGACGGCGCCTCCTACCTGCGCAGTACATTATTGTAGAGCGTGCCGCCTTTCGCTCGTCGGGCTCGTGGCCGTACTCGAAGTTTCATCTCTTTTACGCATCGCTCTTCTTATAACGAATATACGATGGTAGGCCCACGAATTTTTTTTTAATTAGTGCTATAATAATCTTTAAAAAACGATGCAATCGTATAATTGCACCGTGTGATTATGACTTTCTGCAGTTGTGATAAAATCCATCTCATTGTTGGCAAAAATAGTTATTGTTACTCCGAGTCGATTTCGGCAACGTGTTCGGGGCTTAACCTCCTTGCTTATGTGCAACAAAAAGAGAAATGAGATCTATTCGGTTCATTTTATAAAACGAATCTTTAAAATATTAATATTTATCTTTTAACCAATTATCACAAAAAGGTTTGTCTCTTGAAATATTTACTTATGATTCAACTTTTATTATAGGTGAATGTACCAAAGCAGAGACGCACTTTCTGCCAAAAGTGCAAAGTGCACAAGACCCATAAGGTCACTCAGTACAAGAAGAGCAAGGAGAGGCATGCTAGCCAGGGTCGCAGACGTTACGACCGCAAACAGCAAGGTTTTGGAGGTCAAACTAAGCCCATCTTCAGAAAGAAGGTACACTTTGCTTAACATTACCTTTATCTACTTTGATATAACTTAGATGAGAATGTCCATTTGGATCTCAACTGTTCTTATAACTCTCGTACCACTTGTTAAACTTGGAATGTATCCCATGTCAATATTATTGTAACTTATTTTCATTTTGTTAACTTAATATTTCCATGAAAATTTAATTAATATATTTTTGGATACTTTTTAATCTGAAAATTTCAATTAGATTGTAATCGAGTAACAAAATCAAGTTGTTGATAGATTCATACAAGATCTTTTCTTTACTTGTTACTAATGCATATTTTTAATTTAAAACAGGCTAAGACCACCAAGAAAATTGTTTTGAGGATGGAATGCACTGAGTGCAAGTACAGAAAGCAAGTTCCTCTGAAAAGGTGCAAGCATTTCGAACTTGGAGGCGACAAGAAGAGGAAGGTTAGATCGAATTTCAAAATTCATTTACATTCTTTTTGATTAAAAATCTAAAATGCTAATGACATTTTTATTTTTTTTACAGGGACAAATGATTCAGTTCTAAGAAGTTTTACATCTTTAACTTTAGGAGCTGTATTTATTTAATTTAAATAAAAAATGTGAAAAAATATTAGTAAATTTGTTTTATATTTACTTGAAAAAAGATTTCACATCATTTCCAATCACTCCTCTATCTTTATTGTATTTCTTTATTTTCAACTTTATAATTTCTCTCACACTAAATACAAAAATAGTTATAAAAGATTAATGAAAAATATGTAACAAATCATTCGATTATTGTTCAGAATAACAAAGTTTTAATTTAGTCTAGTACTGATGAATCCAATCCTTCTTGTTCCATTTTGAGTTTAACTGCTGGTTTTGGTACACCAACCTGTACCATCTTGAAGTATTTTGCATATACTGGGTCTAATTTTGTTTTCTGGGTCGAAGATTCATCAATTTTGGAATCCTCTTTAATACTTTCATCTTTTGAGTCTGTATTCTGTTCTTGTGTTTGTGTCGGAGCTTCAGATGTGACATCAACAGAAGCTACATTTTTTTCTTGTTTAATTTCATTTTCAGGTTGAATTGTCGAAAGCTTTAATTTTATACAGTAATTAGAATAATTAAGTATTTCAAAATTTCGTGTTCACTCAATTTGTTACCTTTGTTTCTAGCAGAATCAATGAAGCTTCAACTCTTTGCAACTTATTTTCAAATTCAAATAATTTTTCTTCGCAGCTCAGACTAAATTTATTTAAATATGTCACAACATATGATATAAAATGATTTATAAAAGCTATCGTTCTCTTTTCATTGATTGGTGGAACCTGACCAAAAAGAAATAAAAATATTCAACAGTTTAACAGTTAGTTTAATAAAATGATATTCACTTCTGATGTAGTTAAGTCAACATAGAAAGTAACAAGTATCAAACCTTTGTGTAATCAACTGATGCTTCAATCATCGGAATGTCAAGATCACTCATGTTTTTATGTAAATGATTGATCCTTCAAGTGGTGAAGTATTATTAATCAAATGATCCAAACTATAAAACCATTTATTGCGAGCGGAGTTATCTCTAATCATACACATTTACAAAACTCATTGAGTGTTAAACACTTTCATACATTGTTGTTATGATGTAGCAGAACAAATACTGCATAGCATGTATTCTGCTCTTTTCTTAAACTTCTTTATCGACTTTTATCGACGATGCATACACATTTTTGAAATTTTCATTATTTATTCATGTAATAAATTTTTCTGTTTGTTAAATATTCAAATGAATTATTAAAGTTTTTTATTTGAAAAGTTTTTATTGTACATGTTTGAATTAATATCAAGCTGTAACTAATTATCGTTATTAATTGCCTTGAGATTTCGATTGGTTTTTATATTTATTTTGATAGAAAAAAATAACATTTAATTTAAACTTTATCTTCAAAAAGAAAAGATTCATTTCATGCAACTTTTAGAAGATATAAAAATTGTAGATAAATGTGTATAAATAATTCTCTACAATCTGATTAATAGAAATCTTTTATTGAACAATGATGCTATTTTCTACTTGTTGAACGACATGATCATTAAAATACAGGATATAAAATTCATTCAGTAACAAAAGGTATTAAAATATTATTAAGAGCATATTTCTTTAAAATAGTCAAGTTAATTATCTTTGATTGATGAAAAATTGGACGCATACCTTATTGTTTATAACGTATTTTTTATTTTCGAAAAATATTTCCAAGATTTGATATTTAAAAATTTTACACTGTATAATTTCATTATGCTTTTTACCACGCCATATCCCAAAGTCAGTTGATATAAATTTGATTGAAAAAATGTGAGATTGTGGTATACCTAGTTGAGACGACGAAGCTCTTAGAATGGTGAAAAAGCGCAAATAATTTTCAAAAAATAAAAGTAGTTCGACACGAGCACGATCGCAATTTCTCTTATTGTGTATGAACACGATTTCTTAAAGTGTTTGGGCCCTACCAGGAGTAAATATTATTAAAAATAAAAACGTTTGCTTTAACGCCATATAAATATTTCTTTTTTATTTTAAGCTAATGAGAATGTAATATTCTTTTCACTTCAAAATAAATAATATATTTCGTTATTATATACACTATTTTGGCTAGGTACATTACTTTTATACGATGCATTACAGGTTTCTTTACATTTTGAATGTATTGTTGTATTTTTCATTTATAAATTATGAACTGGATCGTCTGATTTGTCCTTCAATAGAAACCCCTATCTATAAATAGTATAATAAAAAAAATGGTATTACTTTTGCGACTACGAGTCGAATTTAACATTTCCTATTAAAGATTAGTTTATTGTTTTTTCTTATATCATAACAAATATATTTCCACGTGATTGTTGCTGTACAAATTGAGCCTGAGAAATCTAGAGAATCATTATTCTCTAATCTCTTTCCTGAGCTCTTTAAAAGGGTGAGTGGGGAGATTGTTGTTGACATTAATGAGCTTTTTGAATGAAACAAAAAAATATTGACACTTTCTCTAAGACCTTCTCGGCGAGAGTTCATGGCGATCTTCAACTCGAAGCTAGTATGACAGTGGGAACGTCGCCCATGTAGCCGGACACCGTGAGGTCTCTCATTAGATCTAAGAACTCCTTTTCACTGAGTCTCTCGCTGCTGGTATCCTCGTCATCTTCGTCGTCGTCGTCGAGGTAAATAAACTCATCCTCATCATCATCGTCTTCGCCGCTGTCGCTGTCATCGCTGTACTGATAAGGCGGCCCCGAAGGTATTGCCCCGAGCTTTTCAAGCTCAACGGTCAATCGGTCTTCCTGGTGGACCAGTTCGTAGGGTGTCAAGCCGGCCCACGTTTCGGCCTCGATTTCAGCACGAGCCTCCTTGATTAAGTAACGCATAATTTCCACGTGTCCGAATAGGACGGCGTAATGTAGGGCTGTTTGGCCACTGCGCCCGTCTTTGGTTTCGACGTTGGCTCCGGCTTTCACGAGCTCGCGCACGATGTCCAAGTGACCTTTCGAAACTGCCAGGTGTAGACATGTCTCGCCTGAAATTAGAAAAAAAAGCATAATTTATAAATAATTCTAATGACTAAATTATTCATTTATTATAATTATGAAGACACCGTACATTGTTAAATTATGCTAAAATTCAAATAATGAAAATTATCGAATGAAACAAGCGAGGCTTCACTGAGGCATGAATGAATAATCCTGAAAAAGTAAGTTCTGACAAATAATTGCTTTAGATCTGAGTAATTTTCTGCATCCGTTGTTGCATAATTAAATGTCATCTCATGAGATTGTTTTTAACGCCTCGTGTAGGCAGTAAACTAATAACAACGATTTTACTAGGAGGAACGATCAAAGACAATTTGCCGATGCAGTAAGCTTTGCATACATTTTTTTAATGAATGAAAAAAAAGAAAGGAAAAAGGTGTGTCATTGTGGCACATATAAGTATGTGGATCAGAGCAAAATAGTCGTCTGTTCCTTCTTTTCTTCGGAGCTTATATGCACGTGTATGAGTAAGTACATGTGTGCTCATGTGCGCGTGGTTCACGGCCTCAAGTGTACACAACATGCCTTCCCTGCCGTATAAGCCGACCCATACACACACACATACATACGCAATGAGTAAAAGTTTCCGGCTATCCTTCAGCGCGCGGGGGTATTCCCAAGTTCAAGGCATTTTCAATCATCGACGGCTGGGAATATGGATACGTAATTCCTTGGGTATGCCCCTTTGGCCGCTTGTCAAAGCCTGGCATTTTTCCGAACGTTCAAGAGCGGTGTCATTGTTTGGCAAATTACAGAAATCGGCCGATTTTTTGTATGCTACCTAACGCGTATTTACCCGCGTGCAATTAATCAAATATTTACACCTATATTTTTAATTTGAAATTATTCGTCGCGTCGCTGGGAATTGGATTCACCTTGATCAGTGCGAATAGACGTTTTTCTTATTGCGAATAAATGGTTCATTGTCTTGACGAATCGAAACCAAAAACAATTAAATTCGGATCTTTTCGTCTGTAACGAAAAACATTACGACAATAATAAAATATCGAAGCGCATCGAAGAACTCGATCTTATTTCTTCTTTCAATTTCCGTGGCGGTCTGTGCAAACATCGTTGCTCGTGTAATAGTCAGCGCGCGCGGGTATTTCCAAAAACGTATATGCCGCAATGGTATCTGACGAAACTATGAATAGATATCGGTAAATCTCGTAAAATTCATAACTGCTCCGATGCGTATAATACACACGCTGTTTTTTTGATGTACGATAACCGGTGATGCGGTATCGCGTAATTTTCATTTTTCTTATTTATCGCCGTTCCGTGACGTTTTTTAAATTCTATAAACGCTCGGTAGCATAATACCTTGTTTACTTATACGAAACTTCAACACGTGGGGTCGTTATATACGTTTAATGATCATGAATATATACAGTCGCGAGACACAATTCATATATGTCGAGTACCAGGAAATCGATTTTTAAGAAGTAGATGATAATTGATACAGTATCATGTTTATCAAAAAGTTATGCACTTAATAATACTTGTAGATGTAAGATAGTTTAAATATATTTTTAGCTTACCATCATAATTTTTCAGCTCAAGATTTTGAGGAACTGTAACAGGAACAACTTTACTTGATGCAGATTCTTCTGTTACAGACAATGGAGTTACTAAAGCTTTTACACATTCAAAATTTCCACTCAAACATGCTATATGGAGAGCAGTATTTCCTCTATCATTTTCAACATTAAGACAAGCTCCCTCCAGAATCAGCTTTCTTACTATAGTTGGATGGTTTAACCAGGCAGCAAGATGAAGGGCTGTTTGATCATCATTGTTCTTAAAGTCAAGAAGGCAAGGGTGTGGAGCCAGAGAAATGAGGTACCACGCCAAGTTGACAAAATTTTGCATTATAGCCACATGAAGTTTTCTACAAATTTTATATAAACATTGTAATTAATTTAATAACTAAATTTCAAGATCAAAAATGTTATTTACACTTACGTATTTCCTTCATCATCATCTTGAGTATAACATTCTTTCCATGAATCAGAATCATTGTTTGGCAAAATTGTAGATATATCAACGTCTTCAGCATCTTCAACATTACCACTATCATCTAGTTCTTGATAATACTGGTCTAATTTATCATCATCACCAATTGATATATCTAAACTTGGTTCAGAAAAATTGGATAAATTTAATTGTTCATTCTCTGTTATGCTGTCTAATTTATTGGGTTCAACATTTTTGGATTCACAATCTAAACAGCAGGATTCAGAAGAGACACTAGCTTGGGATCTGACAAGATTACCAGATAAAAATCCAGAATCTATTGTTGCTGCAGTTTGGTGTTTATCAGAATCATCAATCTTTTTTTCTCCTTCGTCAGACTGTTTGGTAGAAGTTTGCAATGACATATTGGAAAAATTGCTGTTTGATTCTGCAAAAAAAGGTACATTTTCATTATAATCAATTGGCAGAGTAATTTTAATAGTATATTATTTGTATTTAATATTATTTTGACAAATATGAAATGAGAATAGTTGAAAAAATTAAAAAATAACTCATGGTTAAAGAGCAAATTTGGGTTAATCACTTCAACCATAAGAGAAAGTAATCCTTGTAAATACATTCACATTTAGGAACTTGTTCATCAGAGCGACTGTACTTGGTTGAAAAAAAAAGCAATAAATAACATGTGCTGACAGACGACACGAAAGTTTTAAAGGCACAATGATGCATAGAGAGCCATAGAGAGTCAACATACCTTGGAGGTGAATGTGGACCAGTCAAAAGCAGAATGACTTTTTCGTTGTTGATGTTTTCCTTATTGTTGGTGTAGCTGGATGTTAATAATACTCTCGGGGCGCTCTATACGCATGGATGCACACACAATACACGTATACAACATACACAGATTGCACTTTCGGATGGCTCACTCCTGTTTTTTTTTGCGGACTCTCTTATGTGTGCGTGCGGTGCTGGTTGGTAAAGCCCCAAGCGCTCGATTTATATCGTCGTGTAGTAGCAAGTATCAAAGTTGAACTTTTCGTCGATCGGGTCGTGTGTGGCCAATTTTTATTCTCATTATCACGGGTCGCGACGATTGTTGTGGCGATCAGACGACAAGAGACGACGACGACGACGGGACAGACGTGCAAAAAAGGAACGCCAAGCGGAAGAGCAAAGGAGTTTTTTGCGTGAAATACGTTGGCTTGGCCAGCAGCAGCAGCGAGTGAAAAAGTATACACGATATCTCCTTCTCTTCTACGTTGAGAATAAACTGACCTGACGTATATAATATGCACGTATTTTGCCTGTCTCGCGGGCGCTACACACGGGAACGATAATACATATACAGTGATAGAGGAGAGCTTCGCTAAAACACTGACACATACACAAGCAGTACACACTGGCATACACAGCAGCAGAGTATACAAACGCACACACACACTTACTGGACACAGAGTGGTGCACGCTTCACTGCTGCCTGCGACGCACGGTAAAAGCAAGAAAGAACGCTAAAAATTCTGCACGGGAATATAGGAGCCGAGAGAAACCGAGCCTCCCAAGCCTATATTGCGCTGTGCATGCAGACTCTTAACTGTTGCCGCTACCGCTGGCTGATCGCAAACTCGGGCCTGGCCAGGCAGAAGCAGGCAATATCGGTTTTGCGCTCTCGAGAGGGGAGCTCCAACGACGTCGCGGCGGTGGCTGCTGCTGTGCCAGCCAGCATAGCGTACATACGGCAGCAGATTTGATCGGCTGTGGCGTTGCGTATAATGAACTATCTTGGGTTTTCCCGATATTTTATAGCGTCGCGCCTTGACTCGCGGAGCGCGTGCGACTCGTTGTGACTGTTGTTGTATGTATTATATGCATGCCTCCGCGCGCGTTTATGTATAATAATCGACCTCTTCTTTTTATGAATGCGTGCATTATATTTAATATATGAGAATGCGGAGAAGCAGTTCGATCGCGATTCACATGAAAGGGCTCGTTTAGTGCCATATATTCGAGAGGGAAACCCGTATGACATTAAATATTATTATCCTTTGCCGAACCGAAGATATCTTAGAGATGTTTTTTTTTTTAAGAGATCAACGACATCCCGCGGCTTTATCAAATTTTTTTTCCCATCCCCAGAATGAGGTCATAAATGTTTTGCTTTTTCTATGTTCGAAACCGATGTACGTTTCCCAGGTCTCGTACACACACACCCGATTCGGTGTCGGTGAGACATTTAAATTTTTACAATTTCAACGACGAAAACATATTATCGAGACTAGAAAAATCGGGCAAAAACTTACTCACTATATATATGTATCGGAGTTTTCGCTGCTGCTGCAAATGTGTGCCGATGATTAACAAGAAGTATACAACAAGATCGCGAGTGCAGTCATTGGCGTCGGTCGCTGTTTATTTTGCGCCTCAATAACAATAATTCGGTTTATATACACAGGCGCGCGCGTGGGTATGACCAAGCGAGATATTTACACGTTGGGTTTTTAGGAAGTAAGTAGGACGTTTTCTAATCGTCGCCGCCGCTCGATACATAAAGGGGAAAGCCGTCTCAAATATATTTCTTATAATCGGTATGTGCGTTATATACCCGAGTTTGTGATCGCGCGTGCGAGCGAGCACACACACACACACACGCGGCTCGGTTCGATTTTATCGATCGGATCTCTAGCCGCGCATGCAGGTGCAAATAACATCGTCGCAGGGTTTCTGGCGCTAATCTGATTGATCGACGTTTCGGCGTTATAACATTTATACACGCGACGAAAAGGAATTTTAGAAACTTTTTTCCTTTTATTTATATAAAAAAAATACCGTATCGATGAATGTGTCATTATTAATTATATTTTTCGTGAGCGTGTCATCCGATGCGCTAATTGTACTGCAACGATGCATCAACACGAGCATTATAGGCCGTGAAAAAAGCGTCTATTTTTCGAGTCCGCGGCACGCATATAATTGTGTGCAGTTGGAAGTTGTTGTATGCACAAACGACGCGATGGAAAACTCGAGAGAGAGCCGCGTGTGCTCTTTTTGCGAACAATGTGCACACAAGCGGGAGCGAGCAGTTTTTTTTTTTTTTTTTTTTTTTTTTCGTACCACCTGCAAGAATCGCATTGTCCTGCGAAGTCGGTTTAACCCAAACGTACAATACGTTTATATTCTTCTGTGAAGAAGGAACGTTTTTCACGAACGATCGTTAACTGAAGGTAAAAGCCGCGCACGCATTTAACGGATTGTAATAACTGCCTGGACGTTTTACAAGTTAAACTGCTCTCGCATATATATATATATACATTAAACGGGAGGAATATGCGACGACAAAAATTCGCGAATAATATATAATGTATAATGGCATCTTTCCAAGTTTACGAGTTTACGCGCGCGCGCCCCAGGCATGTCATCGCGTCATTCGCCGTACTACACGACGTCGAGCGAGTTTACGTTATATTCCAGCTGGCAACTTGTTTATGGGCATGCATTAGTCATTAACACACTCTAGAATTCGATCCTACTTGCACTCGACTTCACCTCGAGGCTTCGTTCTCTTTATCGAGGAATCGACTATATTTTTTTTTACAAAAAAAAAAAAAAAAAAACTAGACCTATCCAATACACTTCAAGTAAATAAATTTATTACACGTTTTTTGTGTAAAGATAACATTAGCTCTGTAAGTTGTCTGTATGCTCTTATTAACTCATTATCATATTAATTATGTTTGCTATAAATAATTTAAAAAATGTTCAGTCGTATAAAAATACAATTATTTAATATTTCATATTCATATTAGGTAAATATACCTATCCGGCCACCCAAAGATACTATTAAATTAATAAACTAGATGAATTTCGACACAGTACAATATATTTTCAATTCCATAAATATTATACTTGTAGAGAAAATTAGTAGTTCCCTTGAAAACTATTCAATCTGTTTCCTCGATCAATTTATAATTCGGAATTCTGATCTGGTCGAAAAGTGGGCTCTATTCGGTACAATTATTAGTCCAGTTTTCGACCACCTACAATAATCCTTAACAATTTTTATTCAAAAAATTTTTTTTAATTTGTAGATCAACAATAAGTTTCTCATGCACTTTTAGACACATATTTTTATTTATTATGCTTTTAGACTTCGAAAAAAAAATTTAACCGAGTTTTAAGTTCAGGGTCATTAACGGCTCAGTGGAGTGGTCGAATATAAGACAATTTGCATTTTTTTACTTTAATCATTTTGTTAGTAGTATCACTAGCTTTTTCCTATCGAAAGATATCATTAAAAAATTTTTCAAACGTCATGCACAAGCTTTGTAAATGACCAAAGAAAAAATTTTTCTTAAGTGTCCGAAGTATAGCACATTCACCCTATTTCAATAAATATTCTAGTCCAAAAAGTGATTATTTAATAATGTTTAAAACGCAAATTTAATATGATCAATTTTGCACATTCCCGCTTATTCAAGAACTAATTTCATGACTTATTGTGCAAAAAACCAATAATTAATAGAGGATTTTATACCTGCAGCTTCTGTGTTACCTGAAATACATTTTTTTAAAAGAGAAACAGAAAACAAGCAATAAATACAATAATTCAGGTAAGTTTCATTCGAAATAATTTCAAGTGCTTCGAAATTTGAATTCCTGGCAGCGCGTTGTCGAATGGTCGTGACGGTCTTACGACACATGCGTGCAGCGTGATATCTCTCGACATTAGCTCCTGAGCCCCCTAACGCCTTCTTTTTCATCCCAGACCGCTAAAGTGTATGTGCGCAGCATCGTCTCGTTCTCTTTGCATGGATCGTTCTTGAATAAGGTACGACATGTTGACTTTTTATATTATTTTATAGTTAAGTAAATTAAAAATTAATTGTCTCGAATGTTATTGCATGAGTTGTAGGGTGTAACTCGGCACTTTTTAGTAAAATTATTTATCCAACGCGATTATTACACTTTTTATCGGCTCAACAAATAATTCTAACCTCCCTTCCTCGTTTTTCGCAACGTGTTCCCGTGCGGCCAGTAAGTAATAATGTTGAGCTTGTGTATGAACGGGATGTAATTTATCTACATTTTTAACTGATTTTCATTAGTAGACACTTTTTAGTTTCTCTTGCAAATCTATTTTTCCACTGCGTTGCAGTAATAAAATACATTGTACACGAGGCAATACATTACTACTTATATACAAAGGTTAGTTATTTCCATGTGCTAGTTGAACGCTCTATAACTGTTGAACAAAGATTCTTTTTGTGACAACTGCTTTTCTCATTTTTCTAATTTTTCATTACTTGAAATAGAAAATTGAGATATGTGCAATGAAACCCATTTTGATTAAAAAATTTCATGATTGCTGAGTTACCTGGCAACTCTAAAAATGAAGTTTTATTTCAGTGCATTCTAAGTGTTATAAGTAAATTGTAATTTTTGAAACTTTTCAGGTAAGTATTGTTACGTGTACAATGTATAATTTATTAATCAAAACAAAAATTGTTTTGGTTTTAGTTTATCTTGATAAAGTATCATACTCTTTTTTTCATTTTTAGGGTTGAATAATTAAACTGCCAATATGCCACAGAACGAGTATATCGAACGTCACAGGAAACTTTATGGAAGGAGATTGGATTATGAAGAACGTAAAAGGAAAAGGGAAGCACGTGCTCCACATAAGGATGCTGAGAAAGCTAGGAGTCTTCGTGGTATCAAAGCCAAATTATTCAATAAACAACGCAGAAATGAGAAGATACAGATGAAGAAAAAGATAAAAGCGCATGAAGAGCGCAATATCAAAAAGAAAGATGCACCTGCTCCTGAAGGAGCGTTGCCTCACTACTTGCTTGATCGTGATGTCACCTCACGTGCCAAAGTCTTATCAAACATGATAAAACAGAAGAGGAAAGAAAAGGCTGGCAAATGGGATGTACCTATTCCAAAAGTAAGAGCACAAGCTGACTCTGAAGTATTCAGAGTTCTCAAATCTGGGAAGACAAAGAGGAAGTCCTGGAAGCGCATGGTAACTAAAGTCACATTCGTTGGAGAGAACTTCACAAGAAAGCCACCAAAGTTTGAAAGATTCATTCGTCCCATGGCATTGAGATTTAATAAAGCTCATGTCACCCATCCAGAACTCAAAGCCACATTCTGCTTACCAATAATTGGAGTCAAACGAAATCCCAGTTCTCCTATGTATACTTCATTAGGGGTAATAACAAAAGGAACTGTCATTGAAGTAAATATTTCTGAGTTAGGATTGGTCACACAATCTGGAAAAATTGTGTGGGGTAAATATGCTCAAGTGACCAATAATCCAGAAAATGATGGTTGTATAAATGCTGTACTCTTGGTTTAGTGTAAAATTATTATATTAAAATTGTAATATGATTATTAATAAAATTGTAGTAATTTTTAATAAAGCTGTTTTGTATTTTATTTCAGAATATCAAATCCTTCCTTCCAAATCCACTTGTAATTGTCATGTAATAAATATTATTTATCTGCAACTAACAATTTATTTTTCATTGTCCAGGATCAAAATGCAAATCTTTGTGAAAACACTCACAGGAAAAACCATCACCCTTGAGGTTGATGCGGCTGACAGCATTGAAAATGTCAAGGCCAAAATCCAAGATAAGGAAGGAATTCCTCCAGACCAGCAAAGATTGATCTTCGCCGGAAAACAATTGGAAGATGGACGTACATTGTCCGATTACAATATTCAGAAGGAATCTACCCTTCATTTAGTCCTTCGTCTGCGTGGTGGTGCCAAAAAACGCAAGAAGAAGAACTACAGCACCCCAAAGAAAATCAAGCACAAGAAGAAGAAGGTCAAGCTTTCTGCTTTGAAATACTATAAGGTAAAAATCTCAAGTTCAACTAGATTGATTAAATGTTATGAAGCATATGAACATTATTAAATTTATCTTTATCTTGTGTTACAGGTTGATGACAACGGTAAAATCCACCGTTTGAGAAGAGAGTGCCCCTCTGATCAATGCAGTGCTGGTGTTTTCATGGCTGCCATGGAAGACAGACATTACTGCGGAAAATGCCACTACACTCTAGTTTTCAACAAACCAGAAGAAAAATAAGATCATTCTTCGTTGTATTCACTTACATTTATATGTAATAAATAATTTTTTAGAATACAACACTATATTAATTTAAATTATTTGATTTGATAAAACTAATGCCCTTATGTGACTCAATTACTTGAAAGATCAATATTATAGAATTGAGTATTATTGATACAATGTGATGTTCAATTAACTCAATAATTGGAATTAGCATTTATAATAATTTCTTTAAGATCTAAACTTTGATAGTTATCACAGAAAACGATGAGAAAATTATAATTTGCTAGATACCTTTAAAAATTCTATAAAAATCCAAAAAACTTTTTTCAATTTTTGGAAAAAATCTCTGCTACCGAATAATTTTAGTTAGATTCACCCTTTATATTATTAGTTGTGAACAAAACAAATATTATTGCCTCTGCAAATAATTTGAACCACTCTACCTTTGTAATTGACTGAACAAAATTACAAACGATTTTGTGAATCTCTTTTGAAACTTTAATTAGTATAAATCCATAAATACGTATGATAGCAATAAAAATTTTTAACAAGCTTTTAACATTTCTAGAAAAACGATCTATAAAAACTTAACAATGATTTCAAAATGTAATATTTCCTACAGTATCTCAACGTAACTGGGTATACCCGTACAGTTAATTACAAAGTTAAAAAACTGATCAACGTCAATACATCGGATCAACGTTATTACGTCAATAATAAATATGGTACATTAATATTTTTTTTCTTCATTGTTTTTACTAGAGATTTTTATTTAATTATCATCATTTTTTTATATAATATATAGCAACCAAAATATTTATTATCTCGAAAAAATGATTTGACGTAAGATCTCTGAAGAGTACGACGACCTTGCAAGACAATCTCCTACGTCAAATGAACAACTATTTTCATTTCACGATCAATTTAAGTCGTTAGTGCAATTGAAACAGATTTAATTAATAATCAATATTAAAGATTCAAAGTTAATCTTTCAATCAATAAATTAATATCCCTTTATGTACTTTTACATATTTTTCAAATCAATGCATACAATTTTGAAATAAAAATTCCACATAAGGAAAAAACAATAACTTGCAAATGAAGTAAAACAGATATTCCAAAAAGTGGGTGCGACTGCCTTGCATGAATACGTAATAAATTTAGAGCTTAATTGCTCTTGAATTTTATGATAAATCAATAATGTCATTACCGATGCGTACCAGTAGAGGAATGAAAAATCGAAATCTATTTTTATATCGACTGCCATCGTTACGCGTCTCTCGGAACTTTTAAATTCATTTTACAGAAAACCTTGATTGTTCAGCTGATTGAATCGTTATCGATTTATTCGGGACCGCGAATGCTCCATGATATACAAAAACTTTATTTGAAAGAACAAAATGCTTTCACGTAACCTAATATACTTTATTTATAATAAAAATTAACAATTATATTACTACAGTATTTTTTCTTTAAAATACAACATGTGTTTCGAGTATAAAAGTTATGTACAATTAATTATACATTTAAGACAAAAACAATTATGATAATATCATAAAGTAGAACATTTCGTAAAAATTTTATCACAATCAGATTTTTCATTAGAATGTACAGATTGATTAATATTATTTTCATAAAAATATTCTCATATTGCAACTATTACATTGGTTTATTGACTGAAGAGTAAACGAGTGGGATTTATGAAATCCAACATTTTATAAAGGTCACAATGTCGTACATACCACGGTCATAAAAAGACTTTAAAAATATTCCTATTTATTATCTTTAACTTATGCATATAATATACTTTCAAACATACAAAAATTGCAAATTATTCACTTGATCCTGTATCTCAGTATTTCAAAATCAAAGGCGATAATAAATTTAATTGTATACTTTTTGTAAAAATTTCTCACATATATTGAAATAGTTTAAATGCATATAAAAAAGTTGAAAGATGCAATTCTTAAATTTATTTCATGACATAATTAGTTTAACAAATATGTGTTTATTTCTTGAATGTCTAATTATTATTTTAAAATAATATTTCATCTGGTTCACAGTCCTTAGCAGAATTATCTTTTTGAAATTATTTAAATAATTTATCACCATTTGAGATCGTAACTATGTTCCTATCTATTTTTGCTCTTTAAATGAAATTATCAATTATCATAGCATTATGAAAATATGTGTAATATCTTCAAAAATGTCAATTTTATAGCGGATACAAGTGTAGACTTCTACAGGAATCTTTTTCAATCCTAATTGTTTTCCATTTGAAGTTTTGAACATAAATAAAACTTCGTAATGGCACAAACATAAAATGAACAATTATGTAAAAATTTTTACAACTTTAATTTGATCTTTATTTTATTATCAGCAAATGCTTTCATATTATTCAAAAAATAAAGTTCTCACTTCTTTAGAAGAATAGTCAGGAGCGCGTAAAATTTATAAAAATTTTTGTTCTGAAATTTCCAGTAATTCATTTCAATAAGTCTGAAACTTCTTTAAGTGATGTTTTAATTTTATTCAGTACTGAAAAATTCAAATTTCATTTCATGATGAGATTGTAGACTTTTGAATGAAATTTCATTAATGTATCATTTTTGTCTTGAATTACAACATGAATAAAAATATTTTTTACACCTATCAAAAATCTTAAATATGCAGTATTATTTTTGCATATTATTAAACGATATAGTGGAATATTCAATATTCCTTTACAAATTATTATTAGTTGAAAGACATTATCATTCAGAGAAATTCAAAGTTAAAGTAACTATTTTCTGATACATGAATTTTACTTTTTTTCAAGGCTACTTAAAAGTGGTAAAAAACAATAAAATAAAGGCCCTAATTTAGCTTTCAGCAAAAATTATTCATATGAAATAACCGAATGTGAACTTAGAAATTTAATTCCCTACTTGCTTTAACACGTCCTTCAATTCAGATATGCTTTTAATTACATATCTTCATCATCTCTTCGGGGGTTATACATATTGTTTAAGGTGCAAAGATCATTTATCGTTTTCTCGGTCAATCTTGTCAAGCTATCTTCCATATTTGGTGGTTCATTAGCTGGTACAGAAGGTGGAATATTGATTGGAATAGCCTGCTGTAAAAATACAGAATTTATAAAATATCAATCATGAAAAATATTAAAATTTTAAAATAACATGATACATACTTTTACAATATCTGAAATATTTAAACTGTCGAAATCTACTTCCTCCAATGGCATGCAAGTATTATTGTAATTCATTTGTTCTGGCATATCATCCATAAGGTTACCAATATTAATTGCATGTCCTATAGCATTTGATATTCCATCTGTAATAAATAAATAATAATTTTAATTTCGATTTTCTTGTTATAAAGTTTCTGAATTTTTTAAATAACTTACTATCAGTGTTCATTGATACATCATGGATTGGCTGATTTGGTAGTTCATTTAAATTATCTTGCACTAACATAGGCATAGGAGACAAGGAATTTTCTTGAACTATTGGAAGTAATAAATTTTGGGGATTTACAACATTATAAGGCATTGGTGATGGAGTACGCCTTGGTGATATGGTGTTTGGTCTGTAAAAAGTGATAATTATTGATAAGAACAGAAATAAATACAATGTTTAAGAATTAAAAATGTTTACCTGAGTAAATTTGAAGTAGGTACTTGGAATAGAATTTCAGGCTGCATTGGTGGTATAGGGTCATAATTGGAAGTCAATAACTCTTGTTCTGTTTTTACAAAAGCATGTGGAGGGAAATTGTGTTGGTGTGGCAATACTGAGTTATTAGCTGTATTTATAAATATAAAAAAAAGTTAATTTTTCAACATTTACTTCAAAGTTCATAATATCAGTAAGAAATTTGGATATGAATTATGATAGGTGGTATTTTGAATTGAATATTTTGTTAGAAAGAAAATAGAATTGAGTTAAGTTAGTCTGCAAGAAAATGACTTGTACATAATATTAAAAAGAATATTGGGTATTTCAAGTTCTAAGCAATCACAGCTATATACTGAAATTACCTGCATTTCATAAGTATGAGCATTTGTGGACAGTTTTTTTAATAAGAATCAACTTGAAATAATTTGAAGAGAATCTAATATTATAAAGTTTTTAAACATAAAAATCTGGGTACAAAACAAATTTATATTTTTCTGAGATAGCTGTTACATTTTGATTGTGTATTTATAATCGATCAAATATTAATAATACAACAGTACAACACTTCTAAATATTCACTTATGACTATTTTTAGTGTAGAATTTAACAAAATTTGATACATTTAAAGATTTTCTAGATGCAACAATACTTTACATCATTAAGACTAGACTTTAATTATGTAATAGATCTCAAGAATTCAAATGATTCTAGTGCGCTATGACCATTTTATGACAGTTTTTCTTTGATTCTCTATCAATAAAAAATTTGACTCATTTTATTTGCCACATTAAAATTGTTAATGTATTGTAACATTAACTTTTTTGGCTGCATAAAACATAAGTTAAACTTTTCCATCAAAAATATTTCCTATGTTAACAAATTTGAATCCTGAATTAGTTTATTTGATAAAATTCCAAGAATATGGAAAGCCTTGACTAGATAACGAATAGTATTAAAATGGCTTTGTAAACATTTCATCCTTAAAATCAAACATTTTATATTACTTATGAATACCATAATATATAATAAAGAAATAGTCCCATGTATTATTTTAATGATAAAGCCATTCGAAAAATTAAGGACGATATAAAGTAGTTTAAATGAAAATGAATTACTATGTACACCACCACCTCTACTAACATCACCACTGAGTCGACCACAATGAATGATCCAATGTGAAATGAATAAAAGAAAATAGAAGAATTATATTTAAGAACTTTTCATATACTCACGATCGTTCATTTGGTTACTCAATTCGTTCAAAAATTGGGCGCTTATTTCAGACTTTACTCGTTTCCTTTTTAATGTGTGCTGACCATCTATGGGCGATGAAATTCAACAAATTTAAGTTATTTTGAATATATTATAACATGACTTTAAAAATTATTAATAAAAAGCTGAACATCGTCTACAAATAAAATTTTATCAGTTAAGAACCGCATTTTTGAGCAAACTTCCTAAATACAAGACAGAAAACAACCATGCTCTGATCATTTAACCAGTCTGTTTTGCCTCGAGTAAAATTTTGCCTCCTTCGACCGGACTATAGTAAAATGACATTTCATCGAATTCCGAATCAGTGGCTCGCGGCGCCATGGCCGTATAAAGTGCATAATGTTCTAAATCGGTGAGCTCAGCACCGTATGGCGGAGTTTCGTCTCCGTCGAGTCTGGCCATCGCTCTAACAGGTGGCATACTTTCACAGCGAATAGTGTTATTGGCTATACCGGTTAAACCATTATTTGAATACGAGGCATCTTTTTTGGGTTTGCGCGAAAAGAGTTTGGAAAAGAGACCGGGCTTGGTGACGAGTTTCGGTGAGCTTGGCAAAGTTTTGTTAGGAGCGTAAAACATTTGATTAGTCAGCACCGGCATCGACGGAGTTTTTCTAATGCGTTTCGGTGGTAAGGGCGGTACTTTATTCTCGGCATCGCGTCTTGGCAATGGCGGGGTCGGGGGTGTCTGTTCCTTGTTAAATGGTTCCTGTGAAGGAGCTACTTCTTGATTTACCCAGACTGGATTTTTCATAGCCAACTGTAAGCTAGTATAAGTTTGATCGTCTCGTACGTCAGATTGAATTTCCATGGCTTCGTGCTGGTCGTTCATCAATTTTGCTTGAGTGTCTTCGTAAATTTTGTCAAGCTCGACTACTTGGCTCAAAAGCTCGTCCAAACATTGATCGGCAGCACTATTGCTCAGACTCGCGGTTTCTAGTTCATCGGCGCACGGCAGTTTAACTATCGCTTCTTGGCTCCGTTCGACCCACCGATTTACGTCGTTACAGTCGAGCCACTCGTTCTGGGTTTTATTGAAATCAGGCCCGATTGTGTTTTCGTTATTTAAATTTGTACAGGAAGTTTGCGATGCTCGATTTTCCAAAGTGCATTTTTGAGAGGGTCGCAGCGGCGACAGGCGAACCTTTGATTCGAGATTTATATCCATCAAATATCGATTGACATTGATGTTATTATTAAACGTTACGTCGTCCGATACAGTGTCGTTATTAAAAGACTTGCGAGCCAATGCTCGGCGCAGAGAGTAGAGGTTTCCGGGCCTACCTGAAGGAAGAAAATTGAACTGTATGCTTTCGCTGGTCATTCCATCCGACGGTCGTCTAAGCTGAACATAAGCGTGCACTGTTCGGTCAATCATCGGATCATGGTACGCCGGCGTTCTAAATGATATTCCAACCTGTCAACATTTTCGAATTATCAGTATTTTATAACTAGAATTTTATTTTTGAACAAGTAGTTTATGCAACAAAGAAAATATTATTTACATACCAGTAGCCACGGGGTATGTAAAATCGCATACTGGCCTATTCCGGGAAAAAAGAAAGCCCCAGTGCACGTGTTTACCTTATTTCATGTGCCTTGGGGAATTTTCTATTTTTCCCGGCCTAGGGCAGTAATATACTAATTTTTTATTTTCAATTTTCTGTGCTGTATAAACACTCAAGTAAGTTAATTTCTTTATATTTACCTGTTTGTGAACTTGTGGTGGGGTAAAATCACCCAACCCTTCCCAAATAACTTTACCATTACTTTCTTCATAGAAAACAATTTGAATATCATCCTTGTTAACTCTTTCACACAAAATTATCATTTCAGTTCCACCATGAACAGAGGCAGAGCAATGTGACATTTTGCATATCATAAGGTCCGAGTTGGCTTCTAAAATGTTTGGAAAATTCTACTATAATTTCGAGAATCAAATGAATTTGATTAAATTCAAAGTAAATTGATCGTAATTACTTTTATCATAAATTGGTTCAGAAACTACAGGTGCCAAGCCACGATTGAACTTTCCCTCTTTGTTCATCACAAACACTTGAAAGCACAATCTGATAACATTTAAGTCAATACTACTTGGGTTTTTCTTATGGTCAAATCCAGCTAAAATAATAACATTGAATAAATAACAATAAATATTTGAAAAACATAATAATTCAAAACTCACTTTTAAAAGGGTCAACACGAATCTCTTCTCTCACTCTAAGGGCTTCTTCAATTTCTTTTTTTTTTACGCATTGAACCCCTAGCTTGTCAAAGGTAATTGTCATAGTATCTTGTGGAAATTGTACTGTGCAAACACCTTTCCGGCAATTTTCTTTGCCCACAAGAGAGTGAGGATGAGGTCTGTAAGGTGGATCTTTTGTCACACAAGATACAACACAGATCGCTTTACCTTTATAACCAGCAATCTAAAAAAAGTATTTATTTATGAGTAATAATTTAAATAAAACTAGCATTTCACAAAACAACAATGAGTTTATGTGTAACTTACTCTTATTGTAGGAAATGTTTTGACATCTGGAGTACTGTGTACACCTGGTATGCTGCCAGCAGATCTACCTTCACATTTATATCTGAAACGGAGTGCTTTACTTGCTGGTTGTTCAATTATTTCTACAATACCAGTAGGTATTTTTCCATTATATCCAGGTGGGGTATAATTGTTCATCATATTTTGATTTTGATTTTGACTTGGATATATTAAATTTAAATCTTGGTCAATGTTGTTACTGACTATATTGTTTTCAGGGTCTGCTTGTTTAATTGCTTCCACTAAAATAATCATAAAAAGATTTTTAAATGATTTATACCTAAAGAAAACATATGATATAAGTAAGTGATAAATAACTAATGTTTATAATGTAAAATATAATTTACTTTTCTAATTGTATCCATTGAAGATACAAAAAAAAATATATTGATTAAAATTTTTATAAATGTATCAAAATTTAGACTATTTTTTTTATTTAAACATGAAAAGTACATAATGAGCATAACTTTTTTTTTTTTTTGGTAAAAACATTCTTTATCTATCTTCATTATGTTGATTTTAATTCAGTTCAATTTAGCTTGAACAATAACAATAATAAAAAATTTCTTTTATCTATAATACTATGTGACTTATAAAAGCTATACAATATTATTTTTATGAAAAACAACAGTTATTATTAATCAATTTGTCACAACTATTGCGTCTGTAAAAATTAAATAAATTAAATAAAAGTTATAATAGATACTTACAAACTTCACTAATATTACACTCAGCCATTCTATCCATAATTTAACTTAAAACTTATTACTAAGAAAAATTGAATTTTCCACTGTTAACTGGAACAAAAGAAATGAATAAAAAATTACTAAATAAATTTTGTCTGAAAAATTTTTCAAAAAAAAAGTAAGATAATGTATCTTCAGAGAAAAAAAACTACAAATACAAGTTCAAAAGAGCATAGCTGATTGAGTATTTTAAAATTCGTAGAAAAGCCTTTACTTAGAAATCATTTACTTGCTACCCATTACAAATTGAACAAATTTTACGCATTGAAAATCATTCAAGAAAAATTTTTAATTAATGAAAGTTCAACAAAAACACAAAAATCATAGCATCCATTATTTACAAGTGTGTTATCGATTGTATTGTCAAACAAAAGTATAATTATTTTTTATTCCTTTGTCCCGATTATTCGGTACCACATAGCGAAGAGATCCGAACGCCTCACAACAAGTAGTTCTCTCGCGAGTTGAACTTCACAGGCGTCGTGTAGAAAGGGATTTCTAATCGATACATACACAGAGTCGGTAGTCGTGCGAATAAAAGAGAGCCTTACCAACAATGAGAGAGGCGCCCACACACTAACTACTGGCCTGGAGACACTATTATAATCTCGCCTATAACCTCGAAGTCGAAAAGTTGCAAAAAAATTTCGCCCGTCTTTTTCTGTATCTCACGCGGCCGCATATATATGATATATACGACAACGGCTGTGTGCGGCTGTTGGCTACTGCTGCATTGTTTGTTTTCACAGCTGTTCGCGGCGAGATGTCCTTTTTTCACTTTGTGTATGTATACGGAGCGATACGCGTCTTGGTGTGCGTGTATGTATATTATGCAGATTTATCTGGATGCGAGCACGCGTCGTCGAAATCGCGAAGCCGAAGCAGCAGCCGCCCGTCTCTCACGCAACAAAGTACATATCACAAAAATCACTTGCTCGTCGGGGATCGCGCGCACACACATACACACACACGCGATTTGCACTGGTTGCACCTTTAAAAATACGAAGCGGAGCTATTTGTAACGTAGCCAGGCAGCAGCAACCGCAGCAGAGGCAGAGAACATCGTGCAAGACCGGTTATGGTATTACGAATGCTATAGGTATATACGAATTCAGTTCCAAGCTCGGATTCCCATATAATAAAACCTCGGTATATATCGTTTATACATACGTACCGTACGGTCACCGTAAGTCTTTTAATTAATATGTATATACACCATTTATATAAAAAAAGAAGAGTTAGTTGTTCATAGCGGCGCTCGCGCAGATACTTATCGCATAATATTCAACGCGATTGTCTGTATACAATACAAAGAAAGAAGCGCGTCCGCGAGTTCGCTTGCGTATGTGTGTATAAAATATTTCGGCGCATATGTGCGACAAGTCCCCCGATATTATGGCAATCCGCGCGCAGGTATTATTACATTTGCGTAATACTAATAAGTGTGTGTGTGTCTATATAAAACGACGGACGACGGTCGGACTCGCACGGATCGCAGCACCACACGCACGCACAGACTGCCTGATACGCTGCTGCTACCGCTGGCGAGCTCGACGATCGGACTGCCGCTCGCACGCCTTGCCTTCGCTCTCGATATACGTGTGTGTGTGTGTGTGTGTATGTTACAAAGCCGTGTGCGTATATAAGCCTATTGCAAACTCATGCTGCTGCGACTTTATACGCGAGAGATGTTGCGGCGCTCGCTGCGGCTCGTCTGGTGGATAGGTATATAAATAATAATAATGTGCGCGCGCGCGAGAGCGAGAAGTAAGTTGCGTGCTCGATGATCCAGCGCTCGCGGCAGAGGCCGAGTTCGGAGTCTCGGGATTGGACGCGCGGTGGAGTCGTCTCTGCTCTGACCGGCATGTATTGGCGAACGTCCGCTTTCAGGGGTACATGCGTGTATCTGATGCGCGAGATGCGTAGTATACAATTTTTGGCTGTTTCTAAGACTTTGCCACCACCAACCCATACACACGCACACATCGCGGTTTGTTACATATATATATTTACTGCGTGTTGTATATTTACCCTCGCGCGTCTCTGCCCCGGGGCCACGGTTTCTCCAGTGTAAGGGGGATTCGCGTCACGTTTGCAGTGCAGAAGAAAATCGAAGAATTTTGATGTAAAATCTGGCTTATAAGAGACACCGACCGAACACGATGATGTGAACTGGAACATTAAATGAAACGACGCCTTATCATTTGCAAAGTATTTATCGTCGTCAATTCTGCTCTTTGTTCTGAACATCCAAGAGCTCTATAGGTGTAATTCAATACATTTTGATTAGCGTTGAGCTATTTAAAATAAAAAGACAAATGAAAATAAGAATTAATTAATTTTTTTCAAGTTTCTTTATTTGCATAATATAGAAAATTATAATAAAACATCAAACAAGAGATTTGAAAAAATCCTTTAGACGTTTTAATTTCGTGTTTTCCACCGTTGGGTTTCCGCTGCCAAACAAATATTAAATAAATCCTCGTTCTTTAAGTTTTTGAGGATTTTTTCACAGCAGAGAATCGGTATTTGGTAGCGCGTCAACTCCAAGAAAGGATCCAGTGCCCGGGCTCGGAAAAATCCTCTCGCCATTTTCTCGCTCAGATGCAACTGGCAAGCCACCATGGGCTTGCTGGTCAGCTCCCACAGTTTGTTATTGTACCAGAACTTTAAGTAGTCCGCGTATCTGAGTAGATTTTCCTCCTCTTCGGCTCGTAATCGAAGCAAGTCGTAAAGCGACAACTCCGGATCATTATCTCTTATGGTGATCTTTTTCGCCTCGCTTAAGAACTCGTTGTCCTCGTACCAAGATTCGTCAAGTTTCGCTGACTTTTCGAACAACTCGTTATCGGCAAAAAATTGCATGATCGTCATGGCGTCCCGGCGATATAATTGGTACCCTCTGTCCTCGAGACTTTCGGCAACGGCCAAAGCTCCCGATGATAATCTCAATTTATATGTATCGACACGGAGCCATTTTTTAAAAATCTCGCCAAAATAACTCGCATCAGGGAAAACGAAGGTGGATAGATCGGCACCATGATCTAATAGCATGCTGACCCCGTGTGGTAAAAAATTTGCCACGGCCCATTGAAGCGGTGTGCGGTCCTCGTTGTCCCACTCATTGACCTTTACCACCCGATTGACTTCTTCGTTGACGTTGAAGAATATCTCCGCCAAATCATTATTGTAGTCGCTTTTCATGCAAATAACGTGCAGAGGAGTCAAACCATCGTCGTTGAGCAAATTTGGATTGGCGCCGTTTCTCAGCAGCCATTCAACCATCTGCTTGTTCTGGCAGTCAATAGCCAAGTGCAACGGTGTGTCGCCCAACCTGCCCCCAGCATTGACTCGCACCGGTAGATATCTGTCGTGACTCAGCTCGAGTAAAGTCTTTGGTAAATCCATGTCGCAGCTGTGTTTATTGCAAATTAAATGCAGAGGGCTCGATCCCTCGAAGTTGGTCAAGTTCGGATCACTCCGTTTCTCAGCAGCAATTTGGCCATTTCAACATCGTTCTGGGACAGAGCCAAGTGTAGCGGCGTATCATCTGTTTTTTGCAGCCTGAGATTGGGATCCTCGCCGAATTCGAGAAATTTCTGGACTGCGTGGCAACACTTATACTTAACGGCGATGTGAAAATGCGTATAACCGGACTCGTCTGTGTAGTTTACGTCAAATCGATCGTATATTTGAAATAGCAAACGGTGAAAATCGACGATATTGCATCCATCCGCGCGAAGCAGCAGGGGCGTAGTGCGATACGCGCGCCGCGGCTTGCCTAATTTATAATTAACCTCGGGATCGTCTTTGTAGCCGGTCCGAACCACGAACAAGATGAATTCTCGGACTGAGTGCCATAAGTAATATTCAGAAGTCGAAAGAAGACTTTCGATTTCTTCTTTGCTAAAAATGTCTCGAAGATCTGGCAATCGCGCGACCCAATCGCAGATTATAGGTTCAAGCTGACGAATAAATATGCTTCGCTGATCTTCTCTCTCCAAATTAAACTTCTTTCGTAAGCTCTTCAATTTTTCCAATTTTAATCTTGACTTGAAGAAATTCATGATATTTGTGTAACTATACGAACTCGCGCACAACACACAGTCACTTTGTTATAAATCTGCAATGTATTTTTATTATTTTTTTGTCTCGAAAATTACTCGCTACGATGATTACTGTACAGTTGGCGCTGTATCGTCGTAACGTGTACTGAACTATATTGATCTGGAAAAAGTGAATGTGTGTGCGAATTACGTGTGTGCCGTTCGAGTGAGCCATTCGTACGATTACGCCTACACTCGGTGGGGGCAATACGTGGTGACTCGTCTTTGGATGTCGCTTGGTCGAGTGGACCGCTCCCGTAAACGGCTGAGATTTCGAGACCGTTGGTTCATGTGGTCGAGACGAAAATCTCGCGCAGGCGCGCGAGAAATATGGGTAGCGGAGATTTTTTGTAGTTATCTTTTTAAAAAAATACGGATAATTTTCAAATTTTGTTTTTGAACACCTTTCAATGAACTAATTTGGGCTATTTTAGAGAGAAAGTGCCTCTTAGCAATTTTCTCTAAAATTCATATTTATTAAGTTATCATCGATTTGAATTGAAAAAACGAAAATTTTGCCTTTTTCAATCGCATATAGTAACATGCTATAATGGTATTTTTTACGATGACATATCAATCTAATGATAAGCGATAGACAACAAACGATTTAGCTATAATTGGCTTAGGCTCAAAATTATTTGTGTAGCTGTCATCGGTTTATCATTACATACCTCGAAGAAAACTACGAGACTTGATAAGAGAATTTCTAAAGATTGTTATCAAACGCTGTCAACATCGAAAATATCGGGTTACATGTTGCTAATGCGCTATTAAAATAGAAAAATTGAAAATATGTTTTATTTTCATTTTCAATCGCTTATAACTCGATAAATATGCATTTTGGAGAAAATCATCAAGACATATTTTCTTTTTCAAAACGATCAAATTATCAAGAAAGATATATTTTAAGCCAATCAATGCTAATGTTTGAAGAGAATCTTGCAAAGTATCTCCAGACCCCGTTTTTCGGGTACAGGCGCGGAGTTTTCAATTCAACGCGCGCGAAGAAGTTTCACTTCGGGATAAAGAAAATTGAAAACATTTGCTCTCAACGGACGATTAGTTTCCATCTCCGACGCGCATATACACATACATACACGCGTTGTATCGGTATTTTAAGCACCGAGGGAAAAAGCGACGATCACGAGGGGCGGGTAACGTAGCTATTTTACACGCGCACTTTCCGCGAGCGCATATAATGCTACTACTACTACTACGCGGAGAGGCAAGTGCCTATGGTACACGCACGTATATAAAAGACAACAGCGAGTTAACTCCGAGAGATCTCGAGAATAGGGGAATGCTCGGCCCGGCTAAATTTATTTCCCCGTGCGAAAATGACCGCGAGAATTTCGCGCGCCCACCTATATTTGACTAGCGCGCACACGTGCGCGTTTCACGTTACATTACGCGGGACTGGATTATTACAATATTTTACGCGTACGGCTCGTTTGGTTTGTATATTACGTGTAAAAAGTTTCGAAATTACGTTACCGCTGAATTTCATATCTCGCGTACGCGACAAACTCAATTTAAATATATTCCATTGTTCCGTGACATTGTGAAATAACTATTTTTTGTTATGTTTACTTTTTTAATTTAATCTCAATTATTATATACGCTCAACACTGTGCTAATATAGTGTCAATGAACTTGCATTTCTGAAGAGTCAAATTTTAAGCTGCTTTTATTTACGTCATTTATTTCAACTGCTCGAATGTTTAAGCAAATAATTATGAAATTTACTTCGTCAGATTTTATTTCACTAAAGTACGAGAGATTGGTTTTTCTCTATCCTATTTTTATTATCAAGAGCGAATGAAAAACGAGTCCGGGATTGTTTATATACAGCTAGGCGGTCTCGTTGCCCTCCTCGTCGCAATTAAATTTCTAACCCTAAATACTTTTGCAATTTTCAAAAAACAAACGAGTCGACAAATTGAAAGCATCAGAGTAGCATGGGCTCGTCCGATTAAAAAAGAAAAAAAAAACTGAATCAAAGCTCCCTGTCCTTCAACGTGTGCCATCGCATAATCCGTGAATAATCCAAGTACGACCAAGAGCATCGTCAACATCATCATCGTCGTCGTCGTCGTCGTCATTTTTTACGCGACTAAAAGACAGAAAGAAAATGCCCAGTGGTACGACGGATTTATCACCGACGGCCGTGTCGTCCGAGCCGGTTATCAAGATCAAGGCTTCGGCGGCGGCATCGAGTGCCGATCGACGTCAGAAGAAGGCAGCCACGTCGCGCCTCATCCAGTCGGCCAAGCACGGCTCGAATCCGAACTCGGGTCCGGACAGTCTGTCGCAGAGCGCCCGACGACGCCTGCAGTACAACAACAACAACACGCAACAGCAACATGGATCGTCGTCGCAGTTGCCCGTGCGATCGGCGAGCAAGGGCTCGATTCAAACAGCCGAAAAGGCCAATAAAGCTCAGCAGCAGCAGCAGCCGAAAAGCGCAACGTTGAGAAAAATCGCCGGCAAGCCCAATGCTCAGGACAAGAAAAAGACGAACGCCGCGGTTCCTCGCAAGAGCATGTCTCTGCTGGATTTGTCACCCGCAGCCAGCAAGCTGACACCTGCCACGGGCTTCGAGCTGCGAGGGTAAGCACACTCACCGCCCCGATACTTTAATTTCCATCTATAAAATTTTCGTGATTTTTTTGGATACGCAGCTGCGACAGCGCCCTGAGCGTGGGCGGCCTCGACAGCGCGAGCTACCGCCAGCTCGCCGAGGAGCTGTCCGACAAGGACAGCCTGATCCTGCTGCAGCGCCAGAACAATCCGCACCACAGGCTGAGCAAGCGGCTGGGCTCGGGAATGTCGGGCCTGACGCAGGCCGAGCGCGAGTGGCGGGCCGGCCAGCTCGTGGCCCGGGGCCTGATGCTTCACGCCTGGCGTCAGCGTCGCCGCGAGGTGCGCGAGCTCAAGACCTCCCTCTCGAATCTCGAGCAGCAGAGCCTGCAGATCGTGGTGCTGCGCAGGCTGCTGCACAACGAGAACGCCCGGGTCGCGAGGATGAGCGGCGACCTGCACCGGCTGCGGGCTCACAGCGAGGACATCAACAAGGAGCTTCAGCAGCTCAAAGCAGTAAGCACGAAATCTCGTTTCGTCTATATGCGCCTAATTTTATACGCGCACCCAGGCACGGGAGTCTCGAAATAAGCCTTTTAAAATCTCGAACTTGGAAATATATCGCGCGAGTCGCAAGCCCTCTTTTATATATAATAATACAGCGTGCGGAGAGAGAGTCGAGAGCGCGCGTGTAAGTTCTCGTTTCTCATTATTCATTGCTTGTGTGCCACTTGTGTACTTGTTACAAAAACGTCCAGCACGACGAAAACTTCACGGCGCGCGCGCACACTGCTGCAACCGAAATAAAGCTCTTTTGGCAGCAACAAAAAACAAAAAAAAAAACAAAAAGAAAAAAGAAAAGAGCAAAGCATGTGTCTCTCTCGCTTTCTCTCGTTCTCGCTCTTTTCTTACGTGCTTGCGAACGCGTTATACGCGCGCGCGCGCAAGTTCAAAAGTGCATTACAACGAAGAATGCTGCGAGGGACCGCGACACAAATATACATACGCAAAGCACGCGCGCGCAGTGGTAGTAGGGTGACATCACGTTATGCATCGACTCTCGTAAATATAAATCCTTTTTCTCGTTCTCCCCCTTCGTTCTGTCGCAAAGGAAAAAGAGACGATGCTGAGCGAGGCGCAAAAGCTGAAGGAATTAGCCGAGGAGCGAGCTATAAATGCGGAGAATCTGCGCAACGAGCTCGGCACGGAGCGCGATCGGCTCGCGGCCCTCGACAAGCAGATCGCCAAGGATAGGGACAAGCTGCTCAAGAGCCGCGAAGACAAGAAGTCGCTGCTCGACAAAGTAATGCTTTTAAAGGCTATTATTTACATTATCGCGACACTCGCCGCGTTCACCCTATCGGGCCGCATTTTCGTCTGCTTTCTATGACTACTGCTTTCACCTCGTCGACAACGCTTTTATACGCTCTTTACCTCGAATCTTTGCTATTATTATTTTTAAGCCTTTACCAATCTGTACATTTGAGTATTTTAATTTATATGAACTTATAATTTTTGATAAAGCTTTATTAAACGCAAAGTCCTCGACGAGTACGTTGTGCTCTTTTCATAACATCGAGTCTAGTTTCTTTTTCATTTCACGTAAAATAAGGGGATAGAAATGTAGACTCGTAACTCGTAGCTCGAGCGATATGTGGTTGAAAGTAAAAAAGCTCCCTACGATGACTCATGTATAAGTGACCTGGATCGATCCATCTGCATCGGGCGCAAAAGGTGCATCACGATGGTGTGTCGTGGCGCAAATCGATTTTGAGTCATAAAGTTTCGTGCGAATGTTGCAATGAGATTTTCTATCACACATGCAGAGAGGATATTTCACTAAAGAAAATAGGTGAATCCGAAGTATTTTTTATTTTTATTGCATCCGGGAAGTAAACTGACTACTGCATATAAATGTAAATTTGTAAACTACTTGCAAAACTTCATTTTCTTTTGATTTTTAGGGCAATTTGATTATGCATAAACCATATGTTCCTTCCTTTCCTTGATATAAAAAGTATGAGTGTAACGCATGAATTGTCTCTTCAATATCACTGCATTGAACGCTCGCAAGCTCGCAAGCTGAAAAATCGAGTCAACCTCGAGCTTAGAAACGTTGGAAAATCATTTTGACGAGTATTAGTCGTAGTGCAAGCGGTAAAATTCGATTCTGTGTACTTTGCCAAGGGCTTGCGAGTTTCTAAATGTGATTTTGTCAAGAAACGCCAGAGGGCAAAACGAGACGCGGGTTTGCAAATAGGCTTCCAACCTATATAAAACGTAATAGAGAAAGAGGCTCTTCTTCGCGGGGGGTTGTACGTAAATAAAATGACGACGACGCGGCTAAGACGAAGACGTCGCTCGCATATACGTATAAAAGCGCATATAAAGCTGTGCGGCAAAGAGTCAACGCACTCGAGAGCTTGAGCATGAGTCACGCCTGTCGTTGGCTCTAAATCAATTCGAGTCGCTTAAAAGTGACTCAATGTCACATAATAACTAGTTCGTACCTTTTTTCTCTCTTCCCTTCTTTTATTCCTTTATCCCACCTTGGCGTTTTCAAATTCTCACGAATGAAATTTGACGTAAGTATATTCAAGCATGCATTATTCATCGTAAGAGTAAATCAGTTGCTTCAAAGAAGAAAATATTAATGTCTTTATATGGATTACTTTGATATTCGTATAACTTTACTTTTTGCCAATTGCCAATTAAACTTTTTTTTATAATTAAGTTACTGAACTAAATAGTTTTTAAGGTTGTGAAAAATGAAGGTGAAACCACAAAGTTTAAAGTCGAGTTAATTTCCACTGCTAAGATTTATCTGTGAAATTTTATCATCTAAAGTTTATTAGGTAATTAAAATTAATAAGGGAGAAGTATGCAAATTACAAGTTTGAAATATTTGTGTACTTTATTAAGCACAAGTACATGAAAGTAAGTGAGTGAAATAGGTTTTTTGATGAAATAATGTATTAATTCTAAAATGCATACAAATCACTTCCCATCGTGATCATTCTGTGAATTTATTGTTGAAACTTTTAATGTTTGAATAAAAAATTCAACCAGTGCAAACTTTTTTTTTCTAATTTTCCAAACCATGCGTTGCTCCTAAAAGCCGAAGTTCTCGGCTGAAAATGGCCTAGCGTAAGACAGTCGCATCGTAAATCATAAAATCTTGGCCCAAACGCATTTCTCGCTAGCCTCATCAAAATCATTTTAAATTTAACTCGTATACAGTACATTTCTGATGCAAAAAAACGAATATCAAGGTGGCAGCGTTCGAGGCGTTGATCGAAGAAAAGACCAAAAAAGCCGAATGCGCCGAACGAGCCCGAGAAGAGATGCAGGTTCAATTAGATACTCAGCTGGCCCTGAACGCGTCGTTGCAAGAAGAAATTCAACGATTCGCTGGGTAAAGACTTTTTTATTCTTTGCGTCTCTCGAGTGCAGTCCTCTGACGATTTTTTCCCCTCTTTTCTTCGCTTTGATGAAATGAATTCGCGCGAAATTGACGATTGCAGTCTCGTGAAAGAAAAACAGAAGGAAAGGACCGAGCTGGAAAAAACACTGCGCGAATTGGAAGACGAGAACATGCGATTGGAGGAGCGATTGCAATCGAGCGAGCAATTAGAGCACGAGTTGAGCTTGCAGGCGGCCGACTTCAAATGTCAGCTTCTTCATCAAGACGCCAAAATTCGCCAAATGGACCAGGCGTGCAAAACTTACCGGTAAAAGCAATTTTTACGCCTTCATTCTTTCGTTTTGTCCATGATTATTTTGCCTCACTATCTCGTTATTAACGGCAATTCTTTTCGCATAGGGCTGAAATAATGGAGCTTCAAGCCAGCTTACTCAAATACACGGAAGAGTCTGGATGGAGTAGCAAATTGTTCCGATTCGCCGGTAACGTTGCTCGTTATCCGCATCTGATCATGCGAACTTTGTCATTTTTCTTAACCGGACTGCCATTGGTTTGGAATTAAAGTAAGTTGACTTTGCCAAAAAAAGTACTACAAAGCGCTTGAAAAAAACCTTAGTTAACCCCTTAATTTTTTTCATTTTCAGTTTATAATCGTGAAAGGAACGGACGATAATTTGAGAATTTTTGTATAATTTTTATGCGTATGGGGAGCGAATGTTTTATAGTCATTTTTTTTTCTATAACAAGTGTATATTTTTGTAAGCGCACGATTTTAAAAAAAAAGTGCTTCAGTGACACGAATGAGTTTACGGAGCGATGGATGAATGACCTTAAATCTAAATCTTACTGCAGGACATTGAATAATCCAATACAATTGATTCTGTTTTTTTGATCATATTTATTTCTATAACGATTATATTAACGAGTCATTTAATGACTATTCAATTTAGCAATCGATAGATCACAATGATACAGTCGAATCTAATAGTAACGGACAATGATTAGATAATACAGTATATATTTACATAGCTATGTTTTTGTATTTTATCTCAATAAAAGACCGTTTATTTTGATTAAAGTCGATTTTTTTCATCTATCTTATATATTAATCTCTTCATTACGTTTTTCGACCTTTTTTTACTAGAGAATGATGTCAAGAGATAATTGCAATTAATGTATATAAAGCAATTGATGAGGTTGGCTTTTAAAAGATTGCATAAGCATTGGATTTCAAGTATCTCTATCTAAAATGTTTATATTTTGATTGCCAAGATATCGTAATCCTGACGCCCATTGCAATATAAAAATGATAAATTTTTGTTATGGAAAGTTTCATTTGCTTTTTGGCTCTAACTACTTTGCTAAATTTTGTTTTGATAATTTAATCAAGCATATCTAATGAAGATCAAGTACATTTTCATTATTTGTCCTTGTTCAACTATAAGTTTTTGTTAATATCATAATTATGATAGTAGTTTTAATATATGCATCGATTAAAATAGTAAACAATTATTTCAAAAATAAGATGAGATTTCTTAAAAATTATTCAACAAACTTCTTCACTCAACCGTTCAGCATGACTCATACACAGTATTTACAAGTAGTAGCTTAACAATGATATTTTGTTTTTAACTAGTACAATTGTAATAGGCTTTAAGTAAAATATAAAAAACTTGTCATTTTTCTTTTTGATAGAAACTGATTATTTAACATAGCATTCGTAGAAAACAGAATAAAAATATGTTTCTTTTCTCTATATAACGAAAGCAATAACTGACTAGTATCGGCTGCGTTACATCGATCAAGTGTTCAATAAGTAAAAAAAGTAATCATTATAATAATCGTAAAAGTTAGTAACTTTGACTAGAGGGAATTTATCACTGGCGACAAATCGTTTAAATCATCCCGAAACCTTCTGTACCCTCACTTATGGCTAGAAGCAGCGCTTTTTCGAAATGATCGTAGCATTCGTAGTCAGGTAAGCATAATTGATTGAAACTAGAAAAATAAAATAATTGACATTAATTATATTTAATCAAAACTACAGAGCTGAACAGAAAGTAGATCAAAACTCACCATGTATGCGCCGTTGGAAGATTTTCGAAAGTTGGCGCAGCAGTAATTTGGAATCGTGGACTGAGTTGTTGAAAGCCACCAGGAGGCAATTGCGAGCATCCTGTGGTGAACTGCAGAAGTCGCGCCATTTCCTCCTGGGTAAAGTTGCTCACTGCGGTCCAAAACCAGTCGAGCACTCTTAGGAACTCGGGTGAGCTGCCATTAGCGACGTGGTGAGCTCGAAGATCCGCTACGCTGTATTCTCCGGTTCCACACAATAGCAACTAAAATTACAAGAGATTTTCATATATGCATCAAAATCACCGCGAGCTGCTTTGATTTATTAGATTATTACCTCTAGTTCGTTTTCGTCGAAAATGCCAAGAAGATTATCAGGAATGAGTTCGTTCAAACCTCTCAAAAAGTGATCTACTTCACTGCGTATTGAATTAGCTAGTCTATGTTGTGCTAAGGCATCCAAGTATCGAAGTTTCATGTCGTTTGTTACGCGAATATTTCGACCGCCAGGAATCAATTCGACCAACTGAAAGGACGGCAAGAAGTTGGAATTATTGTCCATTGTTTTCAATTAAAATCAAATGTTTAATTACTTACTTTTACTAATTGACCATCTTTGTCGTACTCTTCTTCTATGAAGAACAGTTCCATTTCTTCGACGTCATTCTCCAGAATGTACTTGACTTTGCTCAAATACAAATCTGGATCGTCTTGCTCGAAATATTTGTAATGCACTCGCAGGCCGATGATCTGAGCCAGGAACGAGCGAGTGAAACGGGCCCGGACGAGCTGTCGATACGAGCCGCCGAGCGCCGACTCGTACAGACATTTCCCGACGATTTTGCCAGCGAACTCGTAGTGTTTCAGCTTCAAGCCTGGAGCTCGTTTGCCGTTCGGATGGACCAGGGCCTGCTGCGACTCTCCGAACGAGCTGAACAGGCCGTTTCCTTGGTCGAACAGCGACGCGCAGATCAGCTCGAACCATTCGCGTCGAACTCCGCCCCAATCCACACCTGCCAGAAAGACACGTGATTTTATTATTATACGAGTCTGAATAATCGGATCGATCGATGTGTTTTCAATTAAATTATTTACCTTGTTCGCCTTGAAATGTGATTTCGAAATTTCGACACCAATCGCTGATCGAAAATCCTTTAGTTGCCTTCATTGACTATAATCGAAAAATAACATCGTTGATCAATCACGTGATTAATTCAGAAGCAACAATATATTAAGTGTTTTAATTTTCCAGTATTTACCGTTTCTAGCAGTCTATCACGTTGAACCTTCATTGACAATTTTTCATGATAATGCTTCTGATGATGTTTTCGAACCTCGTGATAGAAAAAGTCCTGCTTATCGGCAAAAGTTTCGCTGCCGCCTATGTTTTTCAATAAGAATAGTGTAAAAGTAGCCGCTATAATATCACGATAATGCGAGATCAGTTCCACCGGGGGTTGACATCCGTCGTCAATAGTAAAAGAGTCGTAACCTTCGTGCTGATTATTAGGACTATCGAAATGAAACTGAAAACAAAAGTACAGCAATTTAATTAAATATGCAAAACAGTCGGCAGTGTTACACAATACATGAATTTACCTTGGTCGAAGGACAAAGCCTAAAAGTGACCAATCTCTTGGGAATGAATTTCAACAGGTACTCCTTGATCGTCAGCTGCTTCGGAGAGATGAAGCAGAAGACTTTCTTGGGCTTCGAGTACCTCTCGCCCTGTATACCGAGTAACTTGGCCGCGTAGCAAATCGTCGGGTCCTTGGAGGCCACGTTGTTCTGGACGGCTCGGGACACGGCGCTCTCCAGCACGATGATGTCGAACTCGCCGTTGTGCAGCTGCGTGCCGTTGAGGCTCACGGTGGCGTGATAGCAGCCGCCCTTGTCGAAGCTGACCCTCAGACGAATGCGCTGATTGGGCGCGTCGTACTCGAGCGAAGTGTCGCCGCAGTTATCGGGGGACAGCTTGTCGGGCGACGTGCCGATCTGAGTTATGTGGACCTTGTAGCCGTCCACGGGATTCTCGTTGATGCCGAAGATGCAGAGATTGTCGTACTCGTCGCGGGGCTCGATCGTCATCGAGTGCGCTATGCCCGCGGTGCAGACGACGGTCGAGCTGTTACGCACGAAGACCGTCTTGTTTGGATCCTGTTGTCCTGTTGCACGCAAGAAAAAAATAGTATCAATACCATTCGATCGTATAGTTAAGGAAATAGAAGACGAAAAAAAATCGGTTGACTTACCCGGCAGAAACGTCTTCAAGAACGGACTGCCGTGCACGTGATAAGAGCCTATTTGCACGGCTATGCGATACTGACCGGCGTGGCGTACCGTGAACTTGACGACCGCCGTGTTGGCCAGCAGCGGATCGGTGCCGCCGAGCTCGATGAAGGTCGCTATGCTGCTGTTGCCCTGACTCACCTCGACGATGAGATTGTCTTTGTCGCAGATCGGATACGGCTGTCCGTTTCTCTGGTAAAACTGTGCACAGAGAAAACAATGAGTTGTTTTGATTCCGCGTGTTTCAGCGTATACGATCGAGTTATTTTCCTTTTTAATCGCGTATGGAGAGAGCCGAGATGTTACCCGATCGATGTAACAAACGCGCAATCTTTCGAAGATAATGCGCGACAAAAAAAAAAAAAAAGAAAGAAAAAAAAGAGAGAACGGCAATAACGATAAGAAAAAGTTGAAAAATCCGATGGCTCCCTTACGCAATATAAATTCAAATATATAAATTGTCAAGATAGGTTGCGCGCATACCTTGACGTTTAAGGTCATCGTCTCGCCGACGAGCTGGGGCTCCTCCCACTCGAAGTGGACGCGGCAGTTGCCGGGCAGCAGGTACTTGCCGGTGACGTACTGCAGGAGCGAGTGCTTGGCCTCGGGCGCCAGGGCGGGCTGAGTCATCGCCGCCAGTGTGACCAGGCCGGCTACCGACACCGACACCACCAGCATGCCACCTGCGCACAAAAAGTCGAGATATTCACTGCTACTCATGGTGGTGGTGCTGCTGCTGCTGCTGTGGCTGGCTGCTGCGTGCGTTGTGCGACACTCTGCGCCGCTCGCAGTGCATTTTGAACGATATATTTATAAGAAAAACTCGCGCTCTGTTTATTTATATTATTGATAAATGTTTGCACGCTTGTACTTTTTATTTGACTTTGGAAACGCGCGCGATTAAATCTATTCTCGTACGCGTACCTCGAGCGCGCATTTATGTCATTAATTACGCAGTTGTCGAAGCCGAGCGAGCATTTTCGATTTCGCGCTGTGCGTTCGAGTGTACATACGATTATACTCGTGCGACACATATACTTATACGAACGTTTTATACTGTTATAATAACGAAAAATCCCCGATAATGATCCACGCGAATTGCCGATGAAGAACGTATACGACGCACACCGTGTCGCCGCGGAGCGGAGTCGATACACTTTGAAGAATATAAAACGCCGATATACGTACTTGCCTGCGCGAGATCCATGCCTCTTTATTTATTTATTATTCCTTCTTTTTACTCGTGTCTCGTTTTATTTTGTCACTCTCTATATTTATACTTGGCGTCGTGCGCGCTCCACTGGACGCCCGAAGAACGAGTCTCCTCTCTCTCTATCTTTCACGCGGGCACGAGCGCGCGCACGTAAACGAAAGAAAAAGAAAAAGAAGGAGAAGAAAAAAAGGCAGCAGCAGCAGGCGTCGAGCGAACGAACGGCTCGCTGCGGCACTCGACGTTCGCGCTTGTATTGAGTCTCCAACGAACTGATCAAAGACGCGAATACATTCGCATGTATATAATATACATATCCTTCTGCGGTGTTATTTACATTGGAGGCGTCGTACGGCATCGGCGACGTATATTATACAGCCGGCCTTAGCGCCGCCGCCGACACACTCGACGACGATGACGACGTCGACGACGACAATCATACATTGAGAGAAAGAAGAGTAAGAGGGAGCGAGAGAGATAGCCGGCTGCCGATAAGATCTGACATAATGATACGAGTGCATTCGTTTGGTCGGACTTTTGAAACGCCTGTCGTATTACATACGTATGGAAATTTGGGTAGCTAGGCGGTATTTTTCAGGCGCGATTCTATTCGTTATACCGACATCGTAAAAAATGAGCTTACTAATCAAACTCACCCCAGGTCCATGCGTCCTGATGTTGACTGTTCTTCACCACCGAGCTCCAAAGATCGGCCTTGAGCACGTCCAGATCCTCCTTGGAGGTGGGCAGCGTCTGGCGCGCCTGTATCCATCGCGGCAGATCCTTGCCCAGCGCTACGCGCACCGCGTTGTCTTCGACCCAGTAGACGTCCTCCAGCGACAGCACCTCCATTTGCAGCAGTCTGTCGAGCAAACGTGTCCAGATTCACGCACGTGCATTGTAATACTTATGCGTATATCTTACACGATGTTTACCTGCCCGCGGCATTATTATACACACGCGCACTTATCGCGCGAACGAGCATGTAAATATAGGAGAAAAATAAATTGACACAAAATTCCCGAGCTCTCTCGGTATCGCGTGCACGCGCGTAAGACGATCGTACATAGAAGCACAATGGAGCCTCAGAAATATCGGGCATGAGTTGTTCGTATGTGCGGAGGGTAAACACGTCGGTTACCGGACACTTGAGAAATTTTTTACTTTGACCGATTGCGGTCGCTGCTTACTGCATTCACAGAGGTTTAGGAAGTTACCGATTCCTTAGAAGATATACTCTTAGCTTTAAAATAAGTATATGATTACACAGAGTACATTAATCTCGAATTTGTTTTGCAGAACGATTTTATGAAAAAGAAAACCCTAAATGCCTAGGTTTTGGACATTTACAAGCATGTTTCCGGATACTCACAGGGTTATTTATTTAGGATTAATATTTAAGGCTATACTCAAAATAACTTTTCCATGCCATTCGGATAAGTAAATTTAAAAAAAATTGAATCCATTATCTCGTTTGCATTTTAATTATTTTAAATGTATCACGCGGCTACCGTAAATAAATATAGGGCGCCGAACAAAATTAAATGTACTCGTCGCGCGACTATACTTATAATGCATCTTGTTATGCAGAGGTGCATCCTGGAGTAAAAAAAATTTAATTACTATTTTCGTATTTTTTCGAGACCCCAGTTATTAATGAATTTTCGTACTTCTAAAGCTGATTATTATTAATTATTTTTTCTCCATTAAAAGCATTTCTTTTATTGCTCGAAAAATAATAAAGTCCTGCATCGCGGCCGCAGCATAAAACCGTAATATCTTTTGCTCTCTTTTTATTTTGCATTAGGGAAGTTGGCGCCGGCCCAATTGCAGCGCGGAAAGTAGAGGAAAAAAATTTACGGGTTCAATTAAAAAACTGGCGCTATTTCCACTGCTGCGCGCGTGTTCGGGCTGAGACGCGATTGAAGGGCAGAAACGTAATCTCTCGCTTTTCCAAATATCTAATGATAAAAGGCTTCGTTATTTAATGCAAACATATACAAGTCGAAAAGCCCGATATAAAATATTACACAGAGATATTATAAAGAGCGAGTTCATTTACGGTGGCTCACCTTTGATAGTGATTGTGGAGTCCATGGTCGACGAGCCATTGGCGCAAAACGAGCCGCTGCTGAAGCAAACGAGCGGCTCGCTGCAGCCTCTCCTCGTCCTGGGGCGGTAGTTCCGGCAGCGATTCGACCTCGCCGCAACTCGCCAGACTCGAGATACCTGCGACGAGGAAGGAAATCGTTACACGAGAGAAGTTCAGGGCCTAATCAAGCTGTGCGCCCACACACATACACGTTTATTCAAGCACACATATATAAAATAAGTAGAGAGACACACACACAGAGAGGTAGAGGAAGAGAGTTAGGCTTAATCAGTTCGCAGACTCCTCTGCAGTATACGTGTATAATACGCCAAGAAAGCGGCAGAGATTACGAGCAGCTATATACTCTGGCTGCGAATCAACATTTGCCCGTCTCTTCCTCACCTCGTTCTAATATGCACATTTACGTATGAAAACATTGATATATCTTTTAATGTCATTTTCAGCAGTGAAACAAAAAAAACATTTATGCTTGAATTATTCCGCTGTAACGTTGCATTGCTCGTACGCCCGGATGACATGTTATTAAGAATACAAAAAAAAGTTTCAACATGACAAAGTGCACACAGATTATCAAAAAAAAAGTTGCAGAGCGTAGGTAGCACATCTAATAGAGTGCATGAGCGTTGCGCTCGTGTACGCGAGTGAGTGTTTGTGTACAAAAGAATCGCATTTAATTTGAATATATGAGTCAAAATATGCGCTTCGTGCATTCGTACATTGCGCGACATGCAACATTGATCGAGTGCGACACTCGACACGGCGAAAAGCGACACAAACCGACGCCCGAGCGCACAAAATAATAAAGAAGAAAAGAGGAAAGAAAAGAAAAAAGTGATAGCTTTTTTTACGAGATAATAACATTGGTACATTATATCGTGCCTTATATAATAGAATACAGTGATCGAGTGAATGCGAGCGGATGCGTTTTCTTTTCTTTGCAAATCGCACATATTGCGCGGATTATTATATAGGCGTAAAAAAGATGTGTTTTATACATCTGCAGCGATGACAATTAGGGAAATATTGCAGCGATTTTCACGCCGTCGTAATTAATTTTAATTGCACGACGAGGAGGAGAAGAACGACGACGACGACGTCACTTACCCGATGATGCGCTACCACTGGGTCGTACGGACATCCCGATGGACGAGATCTCTTCGCTGAACAAATCATTTTCTCCTCTTGAAAAACGATTTCCCGCAGTATTATCAGGCATGATCGGATAAAATTACAATCGCAGATTTTCGCAAATAACCTCGCTTTACGTTATCATGTTTCTGGAAAAATCGGCTAGATTAGGAGGCTTGCATGATGGAAATTTCACATGTAGTTTATTTTTGAGAGCAGTGCCGACGACAATGAGTAAAAAAATCGATTCGACCCTGACGAGCGAAAGCTCGCATCCATGAATAATTTCGCTTTACGTTCTTATTTTTTTTCTCTCTGCGCGATCATAATTGATTCACTTCCGATCGAATTTAGGTCTACTATTTCATATTTAATTCAAGCTTCAAGACATATACACGAGTCATGGTAGATTTTCTTAATTTTGGTAACGAATGTTTTATAGGGAAAGAGAACTCGATCAAAAATTACATACATACAGAGACATTACTAACTGCTTCGTAGCACATAACTGCAGTAAACATTATCAAAATGCTTTATAAAATGAATTTTCACGTAGTCACTTGCAGATTTGAGGATAAAGGTACTCGCCATCTAGTGTCGGAATAAGTTAATTAATGTTAATGTATTTTAAAATGGTCCTTTTTTGGTCACCGGGTCATTAATAATATTTTGGATTTCTACCACGAAAAAGAAGCAGACAACTAAGGGATAGAGCATTTGATAAAAAAGGTACTAAAAGTGCGATAAAAAGCTCAATAATCAAAATCTTTTTTAACCATTATACCGCCTCAATAGACGAAACAAAGTTAAAGCTATTTTCGATACGAGCGAATTAAAAAAAAAAAGAAAAAATACCATCAGCGGTGCAAACTTTTCCAATTTAAATTCTCTCAAAAGTCACAATTTCACAAAAGTAGAGAGTATTTACCGTGCGGTCACCTGTGGTAGCTATCTCTTCATATATATCTTTAGTAGAATGGCAAAACGACTCAAGTCCACCTTTGGTGCTTTCGAAAAAAACGTGTTTCAAGTTACACGTGAGGGCCAAACTAGACGTGGACGATTTGAGGTTTGAAACTATGGTACATTAAGCTACTACAAAGAGATAACTTTTGACCTATGTACTTATCAATTGGAAAAGCGTATTATAGTTACGATACGGAACAAAAAATACAGTCGTAAGTCTTGCCTTTCTACTAGAGATATAGAATAGTGAATTTACATCAAGAATTTTCATTATAATTAATACTACCAAAAAGTTTCTTATTTATCCGAGCATTACAATTCAAATTATATATGTTTTTAAACCATCATGAATGAAAGGATTCGATAACACGAGGAAAAGTAATTTATACTATTTACTTTATTTTTCGGTGACATTTTCAACTTTTCTTATTAATCAAACAGTTCTCTTGAAATGCAAGTTACTATGTACAAAACATGACTAAATATTAAATTACATGTTACACATGTTATAATTAATATTAGCAATTTAAAAAAATGTAGGTAGTTGAATTTAGAAATGTCTTGTACTCGTTGTGGCTGATGATTCCGTTTTTATTACATGAACTACTTGCTGTATCCCTCTAGTTTGAGTATGGTTTCGAGGTCTTTGAGCCTCTCTTTTCGCGCCTGTCTCAGGCCTTGGAACAATCCCAACTTATCGAAAAGGATATGATTAATTTTGCAGCTCTTACATTGAATAATGATGAAGCCCTTCTCGTATGCTGTCTGATTAATGTTTGTGTGCTTGCGTGTACAGCACTTCTTGCACGTGTAGACTAATCGTAGTTTTTCGATATTTTTTTCTCTCAATCTTTTACTGTCCTTCGTGCTGTCGCGTACCAAGGGGGAATACTCGATCGAGGATGACGCTTCGAACACTTTCAACGTGGGTATCTCGATAGAGACCATAGGGGTTGCCAGACTTCGGCTACTCTTCACGTTTTCTCGCAACAGTGGCAAGGTCGTTCGAGGATTCACACTTAATAATCGTCGCACTACAAACATTTTGGTTTCGCTTGAAATAATTCAATTTTCGGTATGAGTAATTAAAAAGAAAGGTCAACACTTGCTTTGACTCGCGACTCGCGAGACGGGACGAGAATTCTTATATTTTTTATCATAATATCGATTTCCAGAAAAATGGACTTGAGTCGTTCTTTTTTTCCACCACAGATATACAAGCAAAGAGATAGGGATAGAAAATGAGCGAACAAAAAGTTTGTCAGATCCTAATAAAAACCACAACCAAAGCGGAGCTTTTTCAGCTGCGCCAAGCTGAGCTTTTCTGCCTGCTACGTCACGTATATATAAGTATATAAGTATACTGGGCCGGTCGAAACAACTCGACCTCGCTTGTACTCTTGACCTTTTCATTAGACTATTCGAGCCGAGAAGCTATGATAACGTCAGCGAAGTATAAGGCGGCCTAGCGCGTGTCTTCGTATTTCTTTCGGGTCCCGCGCGACAGCGATCTATGACTAATCAAAAATAGTTCCATGGATAGCCTAATAGTTAAACTAATCGTAGCTATTTTTCTTACATCAAAAGCTTCGAATATTCGTTAAGATCCATCCCAACTATGTCATTTATTTCGTTTAAAATTGTTTCGATCGCTCATTAAAGCTTTCCTTTTTCTTTTGAAAATATCTTCATGACGTTTTCTGTTCAAGTTTTTTCGTTTAAGATCGATGTGACTGAATTATAAAACTTTTTTTAGAGTTATAAAGTATGCAAAGATGTACAGTTCAAGTGTAATACTAGTAAATTATACGATATTCAAATTATTCGTCATTTTCTTGTACAAATTTAATATACTTGTTTGAAATTTTCCCTACAACTATTATACATCGTTTCTCTGCAGCGAGCGCATTAGACTCGAGTCTGCGGCTCGATTCGTGTGTGTATAGGAAACAAAACAGGTCAGAAACGTGTACCATTATGAATCAAGGCAGTTGAAAATCGATTACCGTATACGAAGCGGATGCGCGCGTATATAGGAAAAAGTTTAGCTAAATCTACATACATGCACCGTACGAGTTTATCCGCGTAACCATACTTCGATATATTCACTAGGCCAATTTTTTCCTTTGCAGGCGCGCCTGCTATATCCGAGCTTTGGCCTTTGATGTTGCGTGCTTTTGTATTATGTATATAGATGTAGCAAAAAATGAGAGAACCGCGCGCGCGCGCGGATGAAAGTCTGCGGCGCCGAAGGAAAGAGAGGCTGCGAGGGAAATTTTCGAACGAGATACGAGAGATGAATACGTTATGTACTGAAATCGACTCGAAAGTTATCTTTTCGAAGGAATTTCACGCGTGTATGTGTGTGTGTGTTGCGATGTAGGTGAGCTTGCTTCTTTTGTGAGGCTGCTGCTTGTGTTGCATCGCACGCGCGCCTGTGTGTCCGCCCAATGGAAGTGGATTTATAGACTATATCGAATTTCCCTCGATACCGCTGCGGAGCTCACACCTGTGATGCAAAAATTCACTTTGATTACACGCGCTCGACTCTCTGCGATTAAATCTCACGGCTCACATTTGTGCGCAAACTTGTTATTCGTATACAAAGAGACGATAATTGTTGTTTTTTTAGCTTCGATAACAAGGTTAGATATGTTTTGAGCTCGATCGAAATGATTGCGGTTTTATAGTGAAAAATACGTAATTTATATTATAGGACTTTTGGCACGTATGAATTTTCATCGTTGCCTTTTTGTTAAAAGGTGTGATCCGCATCTAATTAAAATCTGATCCGAAAAAGATCTTATATATTTTAAAAGAAAAACGAGGGCGTGCAAGATGATAATTTCGTTAAGTAAAAGTAGCGAAGAAAAACATCGGCTCTTGCACATTGGTCAAGATGTTTTTTCTCAGATTTCAACGTCTCGCTCGAGATCGATACGTGTAAGTATTTTTTTTTCAAATGAAAAGCTAACTCACGACACGAATCAAATTAGGAGGAGTTTTGTCGGATTACGTCGATCTTGCCGCACACAAGGGGGTTTTGAAGATTTACACAAGAGACCGAGTCAATTTTGCGATCGTAACGCGCACTTTAATATATTATGTGTTTACGAGTGGCGTCGATGCAACGACTCGAACGTCATGCGCGCTGTTTATTCGATTTTCCTTATCTTATCTTCCTTTGGGAACCTGCGAGCGCAGCTCGGCTTTTCCGATTGCGGGTGTTTCACGTTGTACATCCGCGTTAAATTAACGAGGGCCACTACTGGCAACTACTACTACAATTACTACTATCGCTACAACGTTCCGCAGGTAATCCTCGATCCACGATTCTGTCGGTATGCACCCCCTCGGCGCTTTATACGTAGGCTTTACTTAATTCGATTTAAACATAGTGCGGCGATCTCGTATGTATACAGCAGAGGTCCAAATTTTCGAGTCTATGAATATTTCAACGGTAAGCCAGCAGCAGCAGCAGCACACGAAGCTCGAAAGCGCATGAATTACGACCAAGTTCGCAGACGGCGAAAAGAACAAATGCGTGATTGCGTTATGCAGTGCGCGTGTTATATATACACGGCACGGACGTGATATTAAAGTAATCAATTAGCAGTATAATCCAGGCAGACGATACGTCGATCGATCGGACTGCGCTGCAACGACAAACACGGACCACGTGCGTTAAAACGTGTGCTCATTTGCGTGTGCATATCTCGCAGGCACATAACGATCGCATTAATACGAGACGGGTATAATGGGTGGTGCACATATAAGTACACACGATGCAGGTGCGAATCAGCGAAATGTTTCGACGCGCGCCACGCGGAGTTTTGATAAATTACAATAAACGTGATATATGTATGCACTGCGCTACATTTACTGTATATATAGTGCAACCGGTGCATGTATATCTCTTACGTTATACTACATGCTCGCAAACATTTGCGCGGAGTTTCGCGCGGAGTATACCGAGAGAAAGAAGAAAATAGACGTGTACGTGTTCATGCTTGGGTGTGTGTAGGTGATAGGCGAGCTCGCTCCGCAGACACGCGATGAATTGCGACGCGCAAGGGCGACGTAGGCATTCTCGTGCGATCGCGCGTCAGGCAACCGCGCGCGTTGCAGTACTTCAGGCAGTATCTATGTACACACACGTATACCATCCTATATATCCTCGGGG